AATTTTGTTGCAGAATATGTGAATGTGTCTTTGTTTGTCCTGTCTCAACACCTTGTGAAAAAAAATTGCATGTCTTGTGTACATACATGTAACTTGTTTGTGTCTAATTTTCATGTACATATTTCATGCCCGCCTGCCATTCACAGATACATTTCCAGTGTCTAACTCCATCTTTCCACTAATGGTAGTGGATCAACAGTCACACATGATCACAATCTGCCCAAACAAACAACTTAATCAGCCAACTCACCCCTCAGCAGAAAGAGGAAATTGGCAGTCATACTCAGAGTCTAAAAATTCCAAAATACCCTGGTCTAGTTAGGGTTTTTCTTGAATTGTAGATAGTATTAAGAAGTGTCAGTGTTATGCTGACCACCACAGCACACCCCAACCCCCCCCCCTAATTCTACTTGAAAATGTTATCCCATTGAACATGAGATGATGATGTACAACAATTTTTTCACTTGCTATTTCTGAGAGGTTTTTAAACCGTTATTTCAAACATATCAATGATTAGATAAACCTTTTACTGACATTGTTACTAAGAAGAAAAACTTAAGGTTATAAAGGGTGCGCTTCACGTGTTTAATCAGAAAGAGGCTTAAATGTACCATGTCCCATCTGGCTGAGAAACCAGAATCAAAGGCACAACCTTTCATCCTTCTGTTGGGGGGAACGAGAAGCAGTCCAGGACAGGTCTTCGCCATCTTGGAAAATAGGGCCCTGGAGTCGCCATCTGTGACCAAGGCAGTTGATTATGCCTTGAAAGTAACTTACATGCTTGACCTCAACTACCAACCCTAGTGGTTTGCTGCCTGCAATTTTTAGAAGAAATTTATGAATTGCCCGACACAGTGACTGGAAAAGTCACTACTTATGCCTCTATCAGAGAATTCCGTAGATTTGCGAAGACAGTTGAGAAGTAGAATCAACAGTAGATGTAGATCTTCTACAGAGAAGAACTTTGCATCCAGTGTGCTGCCCGGCATCTTTCAAGGAAGATGATAAGGAATGAAGGTCAACCGAAGCTGAAGGATTATCTTGATACTTTCATTGATTTTCGTCCAGTAAGTTATTTTAATTAGCAATCAGAACCTGAATTACACTATGAGACAAAAACTATATAGATTTATGGGCATATCTCCATCATTTGTAGATTTGGGAACAGTAGAAAATGGAATTAACTTTATTCAATACAGGTACATGTACAAGCTCTTTAATTGCTTCTCTACATGCACAACTAATATCATAATTATAGTCAAGTCTTGCACATTAATAATGTGTTTCTGAAAAAAGAAAAAAAATTATGATGGACTATTTGAGTAAAGTGTGCAAAATCATCTGAATCTGATGTCAAACAGACCTTTCAAAGCTGAGTTTTAAGGAGAGTAAAAATTGCCCCACCCCTAGCCCATATTCACTTTGAAAAAAGACCAACTTGAATAATTGCATTAAATAAAAATCTGTGGAAGCAAAGACAGGACAACCAGGCACCTCTTATAAGGAGACAAATCTAGCAGTTTGTTTGATTCATATTTCTATTTTATAAGTGTATTTATTTATACGTTTATATCGAAGTACCACTTATAACGGGGTTAAATTAGGGGTCCCAATGACATTTTGATAATGGGGTTTCTATGTAGAACCATTTTACGGGAAATCAAATTTGATGTGTGGGTATAATTACTAATTCAGGGAGATATTCACAACCTTGTCACATTTCTATCTCGTCATTGTGTAAATTAAAATGAAATATCAGGAAGGAACCAGCCTAGACCAATATCTGGCTTCTAAACCAAAAAACAAAAGCACAGCCTTACATCCTTCTGTTGGGCAGAACAAGAAGCAGTCCAGGACAGGTCTTTGCCATCTTGGAAAATAGGGCCCTGGATACGCCATCTGTGACCAAGGCAGTTGATTATGCCTTGAAAGTGACATACATGCTTGACCTTGACTACCAACCCTAGTGGTTTGCTACTTGGCAATCTTTACAAGACATCTATGAATTACCCGACACAGTGACTGGAAAAGTCACTACTTCTACCTCTATCAGAGAATTCTGTGGATTTTTGAAGACTGTTGAGAAGTAGAATAAATAGTAGATCTTCTACAGAGAAAAACTTGGCATTCAGTGTGCTGCCTGGCATCTTTTGAGGAAGATCATAAGTAATATAGGGCGAGTGCAAGCTGAAGGATTCTCTTGATGCATTCATTGATTTTCGTCCAGTAAGTTGGAAAATGTTGGTTGGAGGGCGTCAAGTTAATCTGATCAAGAAGTCACTAGCAGAGAAACTCCACTTGACTGGTACCAGAACTAGAATCACCATTAAAAAACTTGGTCAAGTTGAGGAAGAGTTGGAGACATTCAAATACAAGGTGCCGATTCGGGAAGCGAATACATCCAAGAAACATCAGTTCATCGAAGTTGTAGGTGTACCTTCAATCACGGAGGAAGAAGCTGTAAGTGTGAAAGACCTAGCAGATCAGTTCGATATTCCCAACCTGAATCAAGATAGTGGACCTGTAGAAGTTCTGATTGGCATTGACCATCCAAGATACATTGTAGGCGGAAAACTGAAGAAGAGAAAAAACTGTATCGCAAGAAAGACTCCGTTAGGATGGGTAATCTTCGGCGGCACAGACAAGAGAACCATTTGTGTGAATGTGCTACATGTCGCAGTCCAGAACCCCGATCTGTCAGAATTTGGCGACTGGAATCACAAGGGGTAGGTTGTCAGTGCCAAGAGACTACCAAGCTAACCAAGCAAGAACAGATGGAGGAAGAAAACATCAAGAGCTTCTTCGCAGGATAAAGGAAAGAAATGGGAGATAGCCTATCCATGGCAACGGGATCCTCATGAACTCCCAGATAACAAAAGTCAAGCAGTGAAAATACTGGAGTCTACTGAGAAGAGACTTGCTAGAAATCCAGGGCATGCAGAGGCCTATAACAAGCAAATTCATGAACTGGAAGAAATGGGATTTGCCAAGAAACTAACAGTAGCAGATATCAAGAATTATGAAGGGCCAGTTCATTACATATCACACCATGCAGTTGTAAGGCCAGAAAAGAAGAGCACCCCTATGGTTTTATCCCTTGGTGTGCGTATAATTTACAATAAGCAGGTAATTAGTGCAATATACATTTTCAATCATTCAATATTCTTTTGAACTTGTACCCCGACATATGCAGCTGGTTTTTAGTTATATACACTACTGCCTAAAGGTTTTGGCAGCGGGCTGCGGGCGCAGGCAAGCTACTCGCGGGTCGCGTATTTTTTTTGAGTGTCAATTGCCAAAAATGTGAGCAAGTTCGGGCAGATTTCGGGCAGGTTTCGGGCAGATTTCGGGCAGGTTTCGGGCAGCTGAATTGAACGCACGCGCGGAATTTGGGGGAGCGCCCGAACTTCGGGAAGTTCCCTAACTTCGAGCTGCTTTGTTTACTTTGTTGCTATGCGCCGTTGCTTTGCGCGCAATGTCTGTGAAAAAATGCGCATCTGCGTGGAATGCTAGTGCTACGCGGCTTTGTGATGTCATAATGGTTATCTCCAAACGTCACAATAGTCACTCTAACTCGATGTTTTTGTCAAGAAAACAACCATTAAACAGATTTAATTTACATGCGGTGAACGTCTGCCGAGTCGGCGTTCTCGAACTCATGTCATTTTGTCCAAGTTAAAATAACACGATGGAAGGACATAGCTAAAAATTAAATCAATTTACAATTTAAGTATTTAGTGTTGAAGTATTATCACTTATTTTGGTACAGTTGTCGCCTAACTTTTTTGTCAACTGCGGACTAACGCAGATTTTTTTCTTCTCCAGGCGGCTAATTACAAAATAGACGAAATTAACCGTCTGGTACGAGGATAAATGCTTTGATAAAACCAGGGAGGTGACCCACACGCATCCGGTAACCCTTGCTTCACACTCAAAGAGGGATTGACTGGCGATTTTTACCGGAATCTGGCGAACAGTTTACCTTTGCTTTTGTTCATCTGGAATCAACCGAAAATATCAAAACATCCAAATAATTATAAAGACTTACTTCAGAGTTCGTACACTTACACATTTTAAAAAATTCCATGACTTTTCATGACTTTCCAGAGCAGGATAATGTAAATTTCCATGACCATTTTCAATGATGAACATGCACTATGAACATGACTGACAATGAGAGCGGACAAAATATACAGTTCCTCAGGTAGACAAAGGAACATCCCTTACTGCTATTATGTAAAAATGTGTAGAACAGGTGTCACATGCATATTCACCTTTTTACATAATAGCTGTGAAGGGATGTTCCTTTGTCTACCTGAGGAACTGTATATTTTGTCCGCTCTCATTGTCAGTCATGTTCATAGTGATGTCTTAATTTAAAGCGTACAACTATACATCATCGCAATACTAGAAAGGAAATCACAAAACTATAAGGCGCACCCCTATTTCGAAGATCCCCCCCCCCCCCAAAAAAAAAAAAAAAAAAAATCAGAAAAAAAAAAAATCTGGAAAAAAAAAAATCTGTCATCTTTAGTTGAAAAAAAAAAACATTGTTAGTTGTTACTAGACCTAGGTCTAACTTAGTTCACAAGCACTTCAACTGTGCCTCGTATAATGAAAAGTGAAAGTATTTTTCGAACACTGAAATAAGACGCGATCTGATCTGGTTAACAAAAAGCCACCAAAAAAAAGCCAACATTGGTCTTTTTGTTAACATCAGATCGGCTCTTATTTCAGTGACAGTGTTAAAAAATACTTTCATTTTATTACGAGGCACGGTTGAAGTGCTTGTGAACTGAGTTAGACCCAGTAACAATGTTGTTTTTAAAACTAAAGATGACAGAATTTTCCTCCGAGTCCAAACAGAAATGTGGACAGGCTAGTTTTCGTGTGGTGATTCGTTATCCCTTGTGTGAGCTGCATCATACAGGCGAGTGAGCTGAAGACACGGTAGAGCTTCGGCCGGTGTGGTAGGCGATTTGTTCCGGGTTCCGCGGAACGAATCTACTGGATCGACTCGTTCGCAGATACGTTCGAAAGCCGCCGTTCTTATCCTACATTGGCCGAACGTTTCTGCTTATATAATCGCGTATATTTTTATTACTTGTGTCGAATAAACATGGTAAAAATAAATTTTAGCTTTATCTTGATACTTTTGTATTTATTGTTGGAATGAAAACCAATATTATTTTTTTTTAAATATTACTTAATGATAAGGTTTATAACCTCGTACGGAAGCGCGGTACGAAAAATAAATGAATAAATAACCACGCACGTGCACGTGCATACTCGGAATTTCGACAGTCATAAAAATGGCAGATAATCAATTTGTAGAGGAATGTACCAACATCGCAAGATTTCTTGCGGATGGAACTTATCCGGAATTAGGGATGAGCGTCAACAAGAAGAGGGGGCTGCGGAAGAAAGCAGCCACCTTCAAGCTGAGTTCGATTGATGGGCTCACAGAATTAGTTTATACAGGTAAGTTATGCATTGTGTTTCTGAAAAAAAATTCTTAGGTAATTATACCCTAGACCTCTAGATCTATATCTTGATATCACATAACTGAGTACGAGTGCGACTATGACTGTGTATGACTAGATCTACGAGGTCAACCTATCGATAGATCGACCTCGGAGTTGTAACCGAACTCAGTCAAATGGGTATAGGTCTAGGTCTAGGCCTAGACCTAGGTCTAGGCCTAGTCATAGAACGTTAGATCTAGACTAGATCTAGGTCTAGAGGAATCTAGTAGATCTAACGTTTAACTTGGACCTCTATGATAATATGCTTATGCCTGGCTTCATAATGTATGGTGGCTTCTAAGGGATACGCAAACGCAAAATTTGACGTATAGGCTACCTAGACTAGATCTAGGTCTAGATCTAGAGATCTATGCAACAAAAAAGTGGATTTTCACGTCAAAGACGAGAAAATCCACAAAATTGACGTAGCCTAGGTCTAGACTATATCTATGCAAGGGTTTTATTGTCTTTTTACGTCCAAGACGTGAAGAAGAAGAAAATCTGCGTCCAATTTCACGTCTGCGTGTCCGGGAGACGCAGACATGAATATCGGACGCAGATTTTTATGTCTGCGTGTCCCTTCAGGGCCATTGAGCACAGAAAAACGAAAAAAATTGCCTAGCAACAAATTTGTGGATTTTCACGTCTTTGACGTGAACATCCACTTTTTTTTGTTGCATAGATCTAGGTACACGTCAAATTTTGTTGCATAGACTATAGGCCTAGGTAGATCTATACGTCAAATTTGTGGATTTTCACGTCTTTGACGATCCACTTTTTTGTTGCATAGGTAGACCTAGATCTATACGTCAAATTTTGCGTTTGCGTGTCCCTTAGAAGCCACCATAATAATGGGTGTCTATTTTGCACTTGAAAATCATTTTATTTGAAATCCTTAACTCTTAAGTTAAGTCTAACGTTCATTGTTTAAAACTAGAAGTCTCAAGTAGATTTAGGCATTCCGGACAATGTCAGACTAGATCTAGGCTATATTTGATCAGTTTCATGCCATTCAATAAAGTAGTAAACATTCTGTTTATTCAGTTCCCAGATGTTAGTAATTTCATTCCATAAAGTAGTAAACATTCTGTTTATTCAGTCCCCAGATGTTAGTAATTTCATTCCCTAGTAATAAGTCTAATGGAGGTATAAACTTGTTCAGACTATACATAGGCCATTTGTATCTTGCGAGGGGGATGCTATGCTTTGTGTTTCCTTGTTTTCGTTCACATGCAGATCGAGCATCCGATCTAACACAATGAGAGTTACAGTAAAAATTCTTTCTTAAGAAATCCTCTCGTGAAGCATAAAGTTGTAATAACTATTGACGTAGCCTACATGTACCTTATGATATTGATTGAGAATTAGGCCATATAAAGTTTATTAAAAGACATTAGAAAGAAGATTGATAAGGTGGCTGAAGACGAGACCCAGGCGGCCGACGACTGGCTCCATTTAAGCTTTTTCTATTTTTCCTGTTGCCATGGAAATACTTTTACCATATTTGCCTATCTTAATATTAAGGAAGTATTTGTATCAATTTTTAGTACGGGGTACCAAAATCACACTTTTTTTGTTGTTTATTCAAGAAAAATCTTTGAAAAATGCTTAAGTGGCTGAACTTAACTGGCTCCCTTATCTCTAACTTTTCCTACAGATCTGGATCTACAATTGCATGTAGATCTATATCTGGACTCTAGATTGATTAAGTTTTATGTCTAGGGACTAGGGTCTGAATTAACTGTTTGTTGGATATTAGTTACATTGTTTTCCTGGGCATATATTTTCAGACTGATGTAACTTTACTGTAATTACTTAAATTTAATTCAATTCAAGGGCGAGGATGTGAAGAAAGACGGGTAATCCCAAGAAAAGAAGAACAAAAGAAAATCCTGGCCGAGTTGCATGTCAACTCTGGAGGTAAGATACTGCCGAGATGAAAGTTTTTCATGAATGATTTTTACTCTTTAAAGGGGAAGTCCATGCTGAAATTAAGTTGGCTTTAATAAAAGCACAAGAACGAGAGAAACATTAGTGAAGTTTGACGTAAATCCATCAAAGGATAGCGAAGTTATGAATTTTTAAAGTTTTAATTTTTTGACGTCATTTGCGAGCTGCTCTCCCATATGTTGTGTTCTGTAATTTTCATAAATTGCCTATCGTTCATGGTTCTTGATGAAGGAATTTATTGTGGCGCGGGACGCAAAACACCTTCTCAACAAATGAGTCTCAATAGAAATTGCTGCCACCACATGATATAGGGACATGACCCCTGGATCAACTGAGGTTTCTCCAATTGATCCCAATCTAAATGGAAAACTACGTCACAATATGAATTGTCTTTCCTTGTGACGTAACAATACGAGACTGCAAGAGAGTTAATTATGCATAGAAAATGGGCGGAAAGGATTGCCGCTGATTGGCTAATAGTAATGCGTGTCTAGTATAATACCATTCAATCAGACACCATGCGCCCATGTTACAAAATAATTAGGAGCCATTCGTCTTAGTGTGCTCAAGAAAACCCGACAGAAATTACCAAGATGTTCCTCATGATGCATTCAGCTTCTTGAAGATTAAATAGGAACAAGTCAAGAAATACTGGTAATATTCTGTATTCTGATACTCTGTCTAATTGTTTATTCTGAATAATCTCTCTTCCATCATAGGCTTGTCGCTACTCATTCACATACCATTAGCACACGTGTATCAGTATTACACGATAACCACGTACAGAACTTAGGCATTTTCTCGCACATGCATACGTTCGCTCCACACTACTACTCAGGGATAGGTACCACAGAGTACTCACTTAGCCTCTCGCTGCATAGTCTTTAATAGTGCAAGTTGAAGGTCTTTAGAACCTACTTTGACGTAATTACACTGGGGTTGGGTCTCCCATGATCTCAGAGATTGAATACTAAAGGCCATAGAAATTTTGCACTTGTGATGGATGTACTACATGCCCTCAGGGCAAACATTATTTTCTGATAATTGATCAATTGTTTGTCAATGAGTGACAATGTAAATCTTATGAATGTTCCTCCCTCCTTTACTTTCACCCAAGCAAGGTTGAGGGGGAAAAGAGATTGATTTAGAAGCGTGCACAATACAAGTATGATTCTTCATGTATTATCATTATGCCAATGACCATTGCAAAATGTGTGCTCTAATTGTATGCAAATCAAGTGTTTGGGGTTTCCTCCTCTGTAGGGCATCTAGGAAGGGACAGAACGAGGCATGTCGTTCTGCAACGATTTTACTGGCCGGGGATCTCACATGATGTTGCCCAGTACATCAAATGCTGTGTCCCATGCCAAAAGGCAGCACCCTCCATAAAGCACAAGCAGCCTCTGCATCCAATTCCAGTGACTGGTGTGTGGGATCAGGTATGTGATGATGTGGAGAAAAAAAAATTCTGTCCAAATCCTAAATGTGATGAGAATTTTGACCCTATAATGAAGTCAGTTTTAAAACATTAAAAGGACTACCCCCCCCCCCCCCTGTAGCACATGAAAACAAAATTCTTCATGCTTTCATAACTGTTTTTCATTTGAGTCCCACGCATCTTTTATCACCAAGTTTATGGAAATCAGATGTAGTGCTGTAAAGTCACATGACCTCATGTCTGTCAAAAAATGAAAAATTTATGGTTTTGTGTACAACATGAAAAATGCATAAGCCATAACTAATCTTTTATTTGCCCCTTTCTAAGACAAAATGATATTTCATACTTGTTTTAAAGGTACATGTAGTAGCCCTCATTTGCAAAACAGTACCAATTCTCAGAGTTGGCATGGAATTTGGATATGATCACAAAATATAATTTCAGTCGGCCTCTTATTTTGGTAAAAACAAATAATAATGTTACATCCTGTTCCTTCAGATTACCTCTTGTTGAGTAATTTTACCACCCTTGCTGCTATTGAAATCCTACACTGATTATTTTATGGACTCGCTTTACTTTAAAAATTGATCTTAACGTCCTTGTTTTCTCTCTTAAATTGAAAGTTTTGACAAAAGATGATAGGTGAGGTATGGTACTGTTATAACTTGTCTGTTAAAGTCATATTGGACTTGTTTCATTGGGCTTTGATTTTTGTGGGTTTGCAAATCACTATCTTTCATTTTTTAAGACAATTAATGGCATGTACCTCAAAGTGGAGAAACATTATAAATAGAATGTTTAAGGAAGTGTTAAGGGAGAGCTGTGCATGAATTTCTATACGAATGTCTAATGGTAGGTCCATGATTGGTGCATGACTTCAGATGAAAGTCAACTAGCCCCTCCCAATAAACAAATATGAAAAATTATAATAAAAAATGGGAAAGAAAATTAATTTGCAATTTTCTTAAAATTAATATATAAAATGGTGGTTGAGTCCAGTAATTAATGGTAATTGTGCATTCTTTAATGATACTTTTCCCTCGTACTGTAAATTCATATAGATTGGAGTGGACTTAATAGGACCGCTAAAGGAGACTGGAAGAGGTCATAAGTACATAGTGACTTTAACAGACTACTTTTCGAAGTGGGCTGAGGCAGCGCCAATCCCGAACAAGGAAGCGAAGACAATTGCCCAGTTTCTGCATCAAGTGATGCTTAGGTAAACCTAAGATTTCTGGGGTTTTTTTTATAATGAGTTATGAACAAAATATCTGTTATTATAGCAAATTATGAAATATCCAGGGCGATTGGGAGATTTGTGTGCTTGATCAGAATTAGATCAATATTTATCTACATGTACTTTTAAGTTCTGGATTTTCACTTATCTGCAGACTGGAATTTTTGTTAATTGTGATTATTTGCCCCATGCATAAGTGCCATTTTATTTGACATTAATCAATTCTGAACATTTTAGATTAGTCTGCATATTATGTCACTTTGTCACAGAATTATTCATCCCATATATGATGATTATTTTTGCAGATACATGTTCAACCTTTTCTAGCATAATCCCTGATCCCACAACCGAAATAGTAAATAACAAGCCAATGTGACTGCATCTCCTATATGCCTCTGCATGTCCTCTGTGACCTTTGACCTTGTTACTTAAAAAATCAGATCTTGTTACCAAGGCCAATACCTGGAATTTCATAAGTTGCCCACTGTGACCGTTGACCTTTGACCTATCTTTATATATTTGAAAAATCTAATCAGATAGTCTTCCTATGGGGATACATACTATCATCAAGTTTGAAGTTTATATCTCGAGTGGTTCTTGATATATCGCAATAATAGGAAAGTGGGATGGACGAATTAACGGACAGACCGAAAAAACAATGCCTCTGGTTCCACCTTCATTGGCGGGGCACGTGTGTGCGCAGCATATAATTAGCTCCTACGCACGAGCGCGCCAGCTGGTAGACGCGCATGCGCAAATGCGCGCATTTGTTTACATAATATTATCAAAGATGACTCATTTATTGCCTATTTTGAACGGATGTTCCCACGCCGCCCTCATCCAAATCAATGTTGCAACCACGTGACTCGCAATCAGATGCTCTCGATTCCCAATTCCCACTATGGGGAAAACAAACTTTTGTATTTTAATACTTTGTTTTGGCAACTATAAATACCCTTATTTTTCATTAATTACATAAATAAAATTTTTGGTAAAATAGCCCTTTTTAAAATAACCATGGCAACAAAGAAACAGTTTTTTGCATTTAGGGAATGAATGACTTCGAAAGAGACTGACCCATGACGTCATTTCATACGTAACGATAGAAATCCTACTTTTTATTACTGGTAGCTACCACCGCTGGAAATCCATGTTAAATCATGAAGGTAAAATACAAATATACTTTATTTACTGTTTTATTTACATATAAACATGTGTATCAATGTAATATATGTTTATTTTTATCAACTCTGATTAGCCCCTGATTAGCCTTAATTCATATTTTTGTATCGAAGTTTTCAAACGTTTTCGCATTCCGTGCATAGCCACTGTATACAGTACTGTAGCTAGGCCGTAGTACTGTAGCTAGGCAGTAGCATTGTAGCAGCAGGTGTATTGGAATGGGGTTCCATTACGTGTGTATAGCAGGTGTATGTGGAGCAACAGTACCCATTCCGGATCCGGTGCCAGTATAGTAAACACGTATATAAGGCGGATGGCGGGACCTGCTACAGTGCTACACAGTAATTTTTGTTATGAATATGAATATTACTGATTATATCCCGATTTATATTAAAATGCCTTCAGAAAGGCCAACAGCTGGTTTCTGTACATTTGTAGAAGCCTGGCTTTGATATGATCTTTTTGGGGGCTAGCTGGTGCAGCCCCATTTTCTTGTATCCACGAAATGACGAACTATACATTTCCTATCATTCATAAGTGTAGTAATAGGGTTGCCATGATTGTTAACAAAGAAATTGCCCATGATCAGACTTAGTACCAAGGGATTCTAATAATTTTATTGAAAAAAAGAAAACTTAACAATTTATATAAATATTAGTATACCGACAGATATCGACAGATATCGACAGATTTAAAATGATTTGGAATTTTGGGTTGTGGCCTAGTTACAGTAGATTTTAAAAATGAAACAGGAAACCCATAATAGCCATCTTTTCGGTGGTGACCCCTTTTTGTGGCTGTGAATGAAAATGTTAATAATTTGTTTTTCCACAACTCGAAATTAAGTCGAAACAAGGCAAAGCCGCAGTCAACCTCGGGCTCAAGCATCATCCAATCGTTCGCAGACAACACTCTGACAGACATTTCTTCATAAGTTAGCAGGTTTGTTATCTCAGTTAATAAAAATAATGATCATTATTAGATTATTATTGTTTTTAAATACTTTTTATTTCAATCTGTGAAACAAGATCAATATTGAAGAGTACAGTCAATGAATGCAAGTCAACAGAATACAAATATATAAGACGGTATAATCACAAACATGAAGACTAGAATACACAAAACAGGAGTCAAAATTACAAATTATATCTTATTCAGTCACATATAAATAATATATAATACCATAATATTTCTTCATTATTTCAATTCATCTTCTTTAAATATACATTAGAACAAGCAGTGCCTGCTAATCAACCTAGATAACATTTTTTGTTTTAATACACCGAATTAACATTTCATCGTACCAAAGTACGGGATCATTATTACTCCTTTGATTTTCAGAGTCCGGTTGTTAATGTACTTGATAATCTTTATCATTTCTGCACAGGAATAAAAGATCGATGCGACCAAGCGATTTACAGGCTGGTCCTGCTGGAATGCCTCAAGCTGGCCTTCAAGGTATTGCAGTTGCTTTTAAAGATTAAAAAAAAATTCCCTGAAATCATACTTATCAATCTGCCAGATAGTGAAACCATGGTGTATGTAAATTCAGAATAGTCTAAATAAAATTAAATACTCAAAGAGATCCGGTAACTTTGTCTTAGATCCTTTAAAGGCACACTGCCATACTTGTAGCTATTTGCTCCCTCTATATAGAAAACTTCCCCAATCGGTGCCTGTTGGTCCCCCATGATCCTCTTTTTCTTATGTTAAATGAGAGCTGAGTTAATGAGATAGCCACCTGTCACAGTGACCTCGACGGCTCTCTGTGTGGTCTAATCCCTTCTGGCCCAGTAGTGGTGACGGCCTTTAAAAAAATCCTTGATTTAGCTCATGCTGCAATGATAATTATAAACCTTTAGGTCAGTCAGGAACTCCATGACTTTTACAAGCCGGTCTCCTGTCTGATTATCACGATATTTATGATTGAAAATGGAAATCAAATTTTGTGTTTGCCAAACAGTTTTCATAACACTACAGTCTATTGGGGAAAACGAGTATGGTAAAACCGTTCACTCAAAGGTGTTTACTCTTTTGAGGCACTTCATGATCATTTTGAAGTGCAATTATTTTAGGGCTTCAATATAACACCATATCACAGACACTGATAACACGTAGGGCCGTGCATCTCAGATTTAACATTGTTAAACAATTCCTTTAATATGGGTATGTGGGACCTATTTCAATTGTTGAATTTTTTGCTATGACTAACGATAAAAATCTCTATTATAATCTCAAAACATACAAAAATTCAATGCATTTATGGTGAATTACTAACCACATACACTGGAAATGGAATGTTCTTTCAGGTGGAATTAAATGATAGCTCTCAAAGGAGATCACTTTCATTCTTGACCAGTACTCTTGACCAGTACCTGTAAAGGTGAATTACATGTATAGTTTGTATGTCTGGGGGTTACTGGCCAGCCATTGGCCTCTGACACTCCTCAAGAGCAGGTCCAGGTCATTGTTATAACCTCGCAGGTCCCTCTTGATATTGTTTATCTGCGCATGTACACTCTCCCCTCCTTGTTCCCCCATCGTTCCCATCGTTGCTCGCCATCTTCGAAGCCATGGCACAATGTGTTCCTCGAGGAGGTGCATTTTGGGGGGCACTGATTCGGTGGGGAAATTGGTTCTAAAGAAGTGCAGGTAGTCCTTGATGTTACTCTCTGTAGAAAAGAAAATAATGAGTATGGGTTTATAAATGCACATTTTCTGTTCTACATTCTTGGCTTAAAGATTCTGATGATGAATAAATCTTAGCATATTAGGTACAAGTTTATTTGGTTGTGCATGACAGATCAAGGGAGTGTATGCATTGACAGAGGGGGGGGGGGGATAATACCTAAAATACCCTTCCCTTTTATCAAGTACCAATTTATAAAGTGCCTCATGAGTAAAAAGCATAATTGTTTACTTTTAATTTTTTAATATGAATTTATTCAAGTTTTTTAAGACCTTTATCTACCTAGTTCATTTATTTTGTCGTCCTTCAGAAACCCACATGTGTTGATGGCAACATGACAGCGACCAAAGAGAGTGAAAAGATTGCGGTACGTAGCTGCAACCCGTTCTGCTTCCCTGATGAGTGGCTCACTGTCTGGACACAGCTGTTTCATTGTATCAGCTACTCTTGTCGTAAGTCTGATGATGTTGTCAGGCTGTAAGGATACATGAAGATATGATATCAATTAGAATAGAGTTATGGCCATTATTCTGTGAGGAAGAAAAAATTAAATTTTTCACATGTTATTTTCAACTTGCACATTTGGTGCCATGCACTTGTAGTTGTAGTAAAAGAGGCTCTACTATACTCACTTTGAGGCACTTGTGAACGTGGTTGCCTATAAAACTCTTTCCGTGATATGCCTGTCTCTGCACATGCATATCTTGCAAGGCTTGATCCAAACTGGCTGCTATCATCCCACTGGCTACGGAAACCTTTGATGACTTGTTCAGGTCAACTTTCTGTATTGGTAAGACAAAGAGAAACCTCAGACTTTATAATGATATCAGCTATACAAGCAAATTGGATTTAATAGGGGAGAGGATAAGCTGTTAGTTTTATTGAATACATGTATTATACAGTGTATAAAAAGAAATCAATACGCACCACATCATTTATCTCGGAATCCTTTTCCTTGACAGATTCTTGGAGAAGTTGGACCGGTTGAGAAGCAGCTTCCTCAGGATAAAGGAGAATGAAGCATGATAGCTGCTCCATCAAATCCTTGCGCTCCTCTTCCTTCTCTGCCAGCATAGCCTCCAGTCGATGTCGCTCCACCATGTTGATCATGTTCTTCGATAGGTTGCTTGGGGCGTCCTGGGGAGCGAGGTACGCCACAGTCTGGATGTCTAGCTGGTGGCATGCCTTCTCCATACTGTTAAAGTGCTTCAAAAACAACCCGAGACTGATGTGTAGGCCAGGGGGGCATACCTGCAAGAAAAGAAAGAGTAAATGAATGAATCAATTGCATGCATGTTGATTGAATGTTGAAAGGAAAAAATGGTCATATGTAGAAATTAGATTTTTATTACAACTTTTGTCATACCTGATCGATGGGGATTGTAACAAGGGGCTGCCGCACTACGTTGAAGTGGTCCTTTGCACTTTTGGAGCCAGAGTGCTGGAACTGGTGGAGGTGTTCCTCAAGAGTTGCTAGAGTCCTACTCTGTCTCTCCCCTCTTTCAGTTGCTGGCTTCATCATGTCCTGCTTGCTGACAAGACAGTAGAGGCAGCAGTGACGACCTTGATAGAGGGGGAGGGGGATGAATATACATTAAATTTTGTCCTGATGTGGGATAATGGGGGAACATCATGATAAAGGTAGTATTAAAGTCATTTATTTAATGATTTTCCCTTCCCATATCAAATCATGCAAAAATAAGTTTTGTTCCTTCTAAAATTGCACTTACCATTTGGACCTGTTAAGCCATAGATTTTGGAGAGGTACTCATAGTCTCCAAAGTGGAATGCTCGCAGTGGTCTGCCTCTGAGGAAGAAGAGAGGAATTGTTGACTTGAATTAAACTTGTGCCAGCTGTTCATGAATTATGTACCATTTCATATTATTGAGGCCTTATATGTTTTGAATTGCACTAATGCATTGTTTTCTTGTTGTTTATCCTCGTACCATTTTATCTGTTACTTTCCATTATGGTATTTATATACTTATTTATCTTTTTCATCTACATGTATATAATTATATTATAATTTTTTTTATATCATTTTCTACAGGATTTTAGAAAGCCTCTGCCTGCAGGATACTATCAATCATTATCTTCAAATATATAAGGTATGTAAATATTAGACAAAGACAACTGTACCTCCATGTTGTAGTTGTGAGATGTTCTATCTCGGCCGAAAACCCCTGAAGAGCCAGCTGTAAATTAAATATATTATCTACAGCATCAAACATCAGGACGATTGTTGTGTTCTGGACACTGTTGGGCTTGGACACATTGGCGATTTGCATCATCATTTTGAAGGAGGAACCTCCCTTGTCACCGCCAACCTTTAACCATACCTCCCCTCCTGTGTCGTCAAAGGATAGAAGGTTCAGCCTGTGGAGAAGAGATGGGAAAATGAATGTTAGATTTGCTGTTACTATCCGAACAAGCAATGTATATTTTATGGAGTAATATTGCAGATAGTAATAAAAATATTAGTGGGTATAGTGACTTACTTCTCGTATTCGTCCAGGAGGGACATGACCTTCCTCTCCAATGAGGAAACTTTGACAAGTGGAGTCTTGATAATCTCCGTCTCCTTCCTCTCCTCGTTATGGAATTGGAGGGGAACCCATTCCCCCTCCAGGTTGTCCCCGATCAATTTCGACTCTTGGGCCCGCACCTTCTTTTCACAATCGGAAGCAATGTTGTGTTCCTTAAGCCATCTGAAAAAAAGAATAACAAAATTATTAACTGCTTGACTTCTTGGTGTTTCCCCTCTTCCCCGCAAAATGTAAAGTTCTTAAAAAGAATTAATGTTGTCACAAACTGATATTTAATAAGAATGTTAAATGATAAAAGTTCATAGACTACTAGTACCACTGCCAAAAATGTGTTCCTTACGATTTTAGTTTTCTTGTCATCTTCCAGCTTAGCCGAAGCATGGACCTCATGTTGACCATGTCTATGTCGTTGATTTTGACGCTGGAGGATGGGTCATCCAGAGCCCCTGCCTTGTGAGCCCTGGAGACTTCGTGCCTAAACTGGACGTCTGGTGAGTGGGAGATCTCATCCCGGATGGCAGCAAGTTGCATGCTTCTTCTCCGCCTTGTTGATGGAGTGCTGTCTGCAGAGCTTATTCTGGGCTTAGTTATCAGTTTCGTAACCAGGGGCTTTTCATATGTGAAGAAATGCAGGAAAAAAAGTTAAAATGATTATCTTAATATTATAGTACAACATTTGTTGTAGAGATCATGACCCAGTTTTCATGATGGGGAACAAATAGAACAGGAAAGTTTTGGAAGGGGTATTCCACATGGCACAAAAACAAAATATGAAATGAAATCATTTAAATGTCGACAAAGATCAGCAAATTATTTTTTCCCCTTCATGATATCAACTAAATTAGAGCAAGACTTGATTAAAATGATATATTACGAGTATAATTTCTGTACTGCCATGTATTGTGTTCTTTAATCTTAAATACAGTTCCCTTTGTGAGAAGTTGTCCCTTTAACCTTATATTATAATTGCATTTGACCATAGGACAAATTTAGTAGCTTAACAATTTATCCTTACAGGACAGTTGTGAAACTTACCATGTTTATATAACCTTTGTTAACTGTGAAAGTTTAACATGATGGCAAACCTGCATAAAAATTTAATACAGTTCATTTGATGATTAGCTCCCTTAAATCTATTCATTTTTGTTTTATCTTGGATACATGTAATGTTAATACCAGCAGATTGTAAGTATGAAAGATATTTGAAAAAAAAAGGAAAAAAAGATGCGACTTACTTGTCCTTTTGTTCTAAATACAGCAGTAGCACCATCATTAGAAGTACGTAATTTTTCTCGGAGTAGTACGGTACCAATTTCCTCCTTTTGCTGAGGGGTGAGTTGGCTTATGAGGTTGTCAGTGGTTTGTTTGTGATCAGTATGTGTGATTGTTGGATGGTGTGAAGGATGGCTGTGATGTGTGGCTATGTCATATGTGAGGTTTGTGTTGCATTGCTTGCATGATATGTCTGATTTTTTAAGAATGTTATGGAAGTATGTGGGTGCTGGAGTTAGTGACTGGAAATGTACGTGTGAATGGCAGGTGGGGCATGAAATATTTACACGAGAATCGGACCCAAACAAGTTTTGTACACAAGACATACAAAACAAATGTTGACATGGTGTTGAAACGGGACAAACAAAGACACATTCACATACTCTACAACAAAATTGACTGTCATTGGGTACCCAAAACCTCTCTTTAAACAAAACTTCATCATCAATTGCAATGTCGGGCACCCTTGAATTAGCTTTCAAGGAGTCGAGGGTGGCATGAAGTGATCGGTCTATCCTGGGACGACCTGTGCTTTTTTTCTTAGAAGGGCGCCCTCCAACTGACATTTTTTTAGAATGGGAACACACCACACAGGTTTGACTTCGTCTGTGTGGTGCCCAGATAGCTGTTGGCACCCATTTTTTGTTTCTGGGCGATTTCATCCCAGTGTAGCACCCCTTGCAAAATGCCTTAGGATGGATGTCGGGCTCATCATTCTCTACTGAAACAAACTTACTTATTAAAACAAGATAATCAGCTATGTCAAATGATGCAGGGTGTTTGGTGAGCATTTGGCCGCAAAGCCTACAAAGCTTTGCCAAATGGGCCAAATGCTCATCCAACCCCCCACCCCCCTCCAATCCCCCTCCCCCCTCCCCACCTTGACTCCCAAGCCTGTGCTTACACGACATTAAAGGGGTGCCCTTACCGAACTGAAGGCCTTCGCTAAGCAGTCGCATAAGCAGTCACAAGCAGTCGATATAAGCAGTCGCAAGCCTTCATTTGCAACATGCATGTCAATGTATTGCTGCAAGCCTTCGAAGGCTTGTAAGCAGTCGATAGGCCTTCCCACAGCCAAGTTAATATGCAAATTAGCTTCGACTGCTTATAATGAAGCTCTAAATAAGCAGTCGACTGCTTATAATGAAGCTCTAAATAAGCAGTCGACTGCTTATAATGAAGCTCTAAATTAGCAGTCGACTGCTTATAATGAAGCTCTATATAAGCAGTCGTGTTTAAACCTTCCTAAGCCTTCGAAGGCTTATAAGCAGTCCGTAGGCCTTCCCACAGCCAAGTTAATATGCAAATTAGCTAAGCCTTCATCATTGACTGCTTATACCTTCGTCGTTGAATCACCTAAACCTTCGTTGTCGACTGCTTATCCCGTAAACCTTCGAGCGTTGTCCACTGGGTACAAACCTTCGACTGCCTATATTACCTAAACCTTCCGTCATCAACTGCAGCTGCGCTAATTTGCTCAAATATATTTGTGAACAAGTATTTACAAAATCAATGACCATGCAATTTCCTAATCTGTACAGAAAGCAACCTCAATTTCGTATTGTGTAATTGTATTACTCACCTTCTGGACAAAATGAAGATGTTTAAAGTAGCTCCAGCAGCTAGCAGTCCAGTGCAAAGCAAAGTTGATCGTATTTCTCCAACACAAGAGTGCTTGTGTGGGACTGTAATCTTGGTAACAAAATTCGATCCTTTCTCATTTTGTTAAATTCTTGCTCTAGAATACTCTCAAAATTCTTCTTTCCTGGTGTAAATAATCTACCCCTTATTCCCTATACTGTGGGATTTACAGGAAGACAAATCTGGCAAAATTGCAAAGTAATGATTGAAATATGCGCCGTTCAGCTCAGCTCAGAGTCTCAGTGAAGATTTGAATTTGAAAATTACCGGTTGGCCTATTCGCCTTCTACCACTAGATGGCAGCACACATTTGGAAAATGAAGGCCTTCGCGGTCTTCTTTAAAAGTGACTGCTTATCTTTGAAGGCTTATTTTCAGCGACTGCTTATCTTGAAGGCTTATTTTCTACTGACTGCTTAATAAGCAGTCAACATTTTTGGACTGCTTATATGAAAGTCTTTGAAGGCTTAGCTCTCGCAAACTAATAAGCAGTCGAAGACTAAAACAAGCCTTCGAAGGCTTATGAAGTCTTTGAAGGCTTTGTGAAGGCTTAGCGAAGGCTTATCGAAGGCTTATTAAGCAGTTTTCTTTGGTAAGGGTGGGGCCACAGTGATGGTGTGAAAGGGGTTAAGTGAGGCCGATGATAAGATGAGAGTTATTGACAGATAAAAAAAGTAGGAAGCATAGAGACCAAAAAAGGGATTAGGAAGAACACTTTGACAACTTAAAACAGAATGCCACCAGCCCTTTAAAACTCTTGACTTTTTGTGATAATACTATAAAAAGTTTGTTGATAAAATGATGAAAAACTATAGTGTAAAAGCTCACCCCCGCCGTACGTAACAATGATCGTCAACGTACGCGGGGATTCCAAGAAAATTCTATGACCTCATATGATTAACATGACGTATACGTTTTGTATTGTTGATCTGACATCTCATTGGTCAAATCACAGGTCTAAACTTGTCCAAAAGTTTGTTTACCCTACCCCCTTTCAAATGAACTTTGAGTTTCCCGCGCCCGCGAAATGAACTTGAAATGTAAACAAATGTCGCCCTCAGCGGCCAATCTTGGACAGTCTTAATCATCACACGGTCAATGTGCAGTGCGCGTACGTGGGGGGCATAAAAATTGGTGGTGTGAAAATCCAGCTTTGTGGTATTTGCACCAACGTTTTGGGCTTGCAATTTAAACTTATCCAAAGTATGGCTGTAGATCTTAAATTTCTGTCCGTACCAAACCGTAAATATAATTTTTATGAATCTATTTTAAAAATTTGTTTCAGATTTGGATTTGTTGATCGTTTGATTACGGATCAAGGGAGAGAATTTAACAACGAGTTGGTGACTTCCCTTCTAAAGTTCAGCGGTACAAGGCACTGCGTTAGCAGTGCTTATCATCCCCAAACAAACGGGCTGGTTGAACGATTCAACCAGACTTTGATATGTGCACTACAGAAGGTGACAAATGAAGAGTGCAATGATTGGGATGAGAAGATTGATGCCATTCTCTTTGCATACCGGACATCCCCCCAAGGGTCTACGCGCTACTCACCCTTTCAACTTATGTTCAACAGGTGATGAAGCAGCTGTAAATTGCTTTAAAGTTTAAGTGTACATGTATGTTTTGTAGCTGACATCTTTTCATGAAACCTTTGCAACAAAATATATCTCTCGTCTTGAATCCACACAAATTTTCAGATTTTCCCCCTTATTCCTCATATCTCTGATTGTCTCCTTCTGACCTTGACAAATGTGGTGTGAAATATATTTTCCCATGACATATTTTGAGCTCAGAAGGAGGTAAGACGCACTTTGAAAAATAATGGAAGAAATCTGAAAAATTGTGTACAAAACGGATGGAGAGTTGTCCACAAAATCAGCCATTTTGAAGCAGTTTTGCCAATTTGAGGATCCCCATAGAAAGTACAACAAGACTTTTCAAACTCCCATAACTCTCTTATTTTATAACCAATTTTGATAAAACTTTTTAAAATTGCTCCTCTCATTTTACTCTTTCCTATGAGATTGATTCTCTCCTTGGGTTTTGGTTTCCTTTAAGTAAAGCACTAACCTACTGGTCATAAACGACTTTTTACCTCCACAGAGAACCACGTCTCCCCATAGATGTAGTGACCAGCTCCTCAACTATCTCAGCGCCCTCCCCTGAGGAAGTTGAACAAGTTTTTGTCAAGGTCCAGGCAATGAGCGATAAAATCAGGGATCATACCAAGATCAACGTGAAGGCGGCCCAGCAAAAGCAAAAGAGGCATTATGATGAGAGGCATCATGTCAGCAAGGCAAGTTTTTTATTCCTACACCCCACCAAAACTATTTGGAATACATATCTTTCTTACCTATCCGTAATGTCCTTGATCACATGTTTAGGGCAAGATATTCAAATTTTTGCATGTTCATATACTATAAATGGAAGTCATGCATACTTTCTTACATCAGAAAAAATGAAAGCTGAATAAGTGGTTATTCAGGCGAGTCAGATCTCGCGAAAATATCCACAATATAAGGCTGTTTATAGTACTTATAAAGAGAGTTGTGTTTATATATCCTTAAAAGGTTTTCTCTGAAGGAAGTTGGGTTCTGAAGAAGAACATGAGAAGAGACACCCGGCAAGGAGACAAGCTAACCCACAGGACGACAGGACCATTTATCATCGAGAAGTATGTGAGCAAAGGTGTCTACATACTGCGCAATCCTCTTACCGATACCCTTCTAAAACAGAAAGTGAATGGAAGCCACCTCATTCCTTTCAATAGAGGTAAGAATCTGGCAACATGACACAAAATGCTTCTTCCACATTTCTCAATTTCCATTTCAATTTTGATTATGTAGGTTATATCTACTAATTCTTTAATGAGATACATGTACACAAATAGCTTACACAGAATTTCGACATTTTGCCTCAACATTAATTATGGTAATTTATTCAAAATTTATTCAAAATGTCCTAATTTCCCAACCAATGAAATAGAGAAGGCCATTTTCCTGTCAATTGTGCATTGCATTTCTGTCAAATACATTCCATTTCCAACTTTGCAAGTAACCAGAATGGAGCAGCTGCTTGAATTAAAATGCATGAATTAACAATTGGCTTGTGTGATGTTTTTCTTCATATTTCAAAAGTTTTGCATGTGAAAAAGGGACCAATGCTGGTCCATGGCACAACCACAATGAACTAAAAACAATACCCTAGCTCCCCTGATTCATTCGATTTGCATTTGTTGGACGGAATATTTATTTTCAGATAGTGGTCTGAGTACAGACACGAGTACAAACAAGGATGTGAGTGAAAACCTGCATGACAAAAAAAAAAATTATGTTCCTAATTAAAGATTCATGCATGGTTGTTCCAAAATTCACTTTTGAATTACTAACATTGAAAATTAAAATTACATTAATGTTTCATTCCACCACAGAGAAGTGTAGTGTATTTCATGCCATTTGCAAGGATGGCCCAATGACTGCATGCTTATTTGTCAGTCTGCATGAATATTATGGTGTAGACATTTTTATCATTTCATTTCTTTCTAATATATCAGGTTCCTCTGTTGAGTTGAGGTTGCTGTCTTCAGCCGTAAGACTAGTTGTAACCAAACTGTCAAAGGGGGTCCTTTCACCACTGCTTACCTCTCTCGCGTTTATACTTTTCATAGCAAATACATGTAGCTCCTCTGCATTCCCACAAGTACAAAATAGACTGCCAGGTACACACCCAAGACCCCATTTTCCCCTTCTCATTTGCTCCTTAAATCCCCATTTTGGAACTGGCCTCTACACACCCCTGAATACAAATAAATTTGATAATTGGGAAATGCATATTTTGAGATGATTTCGGGTAGAGAGGATGTTGAGTAAGTAAGTGGAACGATCGTAGAGCCCCAACGACCATTCTCTCAAGTAATAAAATCTTTTATTAGATGGCGAGTGTCGTCAAATAAAGTAATAACCTCCATCAATTGGCTGCATTCTTTTGTGATTTCGATTGGTATTACTGCTGTCAGGTGGGCTGTATCTAATACAACCACCTTATATTTTTGTTAAAATCGCCTTTATTATTTATTTATTATTTATTTATTTTTCTTATTTCGACCCACTTTTTTCTTAGCATGATAACTTTGTAATGGTTCATTCAAATGCTTTGAAATTTAGCACACATATGTATAGGCATATGGACATAACACAGTAAGGTTTTCAACCTTGACCTTGACATATGACGTCATCTAGGCGCCATTTTGTGAAATTTTCTGAAAATTTACTCATGATCATATCTTCATAACCAAAAGGTATTTCTCATTCATGTTTATCATGATCAAGGTCAATATCAGTCTGGTCAATTTCATGTCCAAATTTTGATATGTTGTAGCTAAAATAATTCTCTATAAGTTTGATAATAACCATTTTTCATTTTGATGACGTCATCAGAGTAAAATTACGAATAAAGGGCACATATCAGAAATTTCTTAAGTTGCATGTCATGACTATAGAAGGTGAATTTCGTTCACGTAATGAATTTACATGATATTGTTTTAACAAAAAAAAATTAAGCAGTATCTCTCTTATTTTTGCTCTATTTTGTTTTCAAATTTTAGTTGACCAGCCCACCTATACTTGTTCCAAACAAGTATTATATGTATAGTTATTATTATTATTATTGGTGTTTTTTTTTTTTTGTTGTTCTAACTAATTTAATCATTATCATCATTCAAATTGTTTTACATACCTCATTTTAAGAATCTTTACTAATACAAGTGTCTTCTGATTGGTTAAAAGTGTAGTCATGTCCTTAACCATGCCTGTTAAGAAATTCATCGTTCAATTTTTCCCAGTCGCCCCGGTTTATATCCATTTTGTACCCGCCTGTAACGCATTTTGCCGCGATCCCCTTTGGTTAACCTGTGTTATTAATTTCCTCTGCGCGATGTGTAGCGAAGATACCATAGACGCAAAGGAATTTTCCCTAGTCGCTACATTTAGGCGATTGACTAGTGTCGACTATGATTTGTATTCTAGTCTCGCTTCGGTTTTAGGGAACTTTATTTCCAAAGAGGCAAAAATGGATAAACCAACAAATGCCAGGATCACTTAATGGGTACCTTTAAGTCCCATATTGACATCATAAAAAGAACAGGAAATCAAAACTAACAGTTACTCAGGCACGGCGGGCTACCGGCTTCTTTGCATCACGTCCAATTGCTTTTGTGCTGTCATGTCCAACATACTCGACTGTCAATGTAGAGTGTCGGATGTCCCGTCTAAACTACGATCTTGTTAAGTTAGATCTTCTTGTTTTTCGGTATATAAACGATATATTGACTGCTTTTAATATTCAAGACATGGTCGTTTCTATGGGCTCTGGGGGACCTCACAACCTGCCATGACCCTGCGACTACGTTTTGGGGTCATAGCACTTGTGAGGTCCCCTCGAGCATAGAAACAACTAGATCTATCATTGTATGCCTCTCAAAGCAGTCAATATATCTATATTATTGACTAATTATTTTTCTAATTCAAATCACATGTTACATTTTATTAACTTGTCATTTACTGTAGTCAACGTCTTTCATACTCACCTATTAAATCACTTACTCACGACTTTTATCTAATGTGAGCAACAACAGATGCCATGTCTGGCAGTATTATAAATGGTGCTTATTTTGTGGAAGTTCTCATGTTCATTATTATCTTACTTACTTTTTGTTACTTTGAAAGAAAAAAATCTTTACAATTCATGCCGTCTAATAATTCTAGCCACCCACAAAAAGTAAACATCTTCATGATCAGTACTGTACGAGCCGAAAATTGTGTACAAAACGCGTGGCAAAGTGAAGTTTCTGGTTTGGTTTATAAATCAGTAACATTTCAATCTTTAGACTTGATTTATCATTTATGCAAGCTAAAAAATTGATCTAGATAATGACCTTAAATATCAGAAGTCTCAAATCAATAAAATACATCAGAATTAAAAACAATAGCATACATAAGAAATTTGTAAAACGATGTTATAGGCCTTCAAAAGAATTGACAGATTCTTTTAAAATAATTTTGTTGTCGCCTCTTCATTCCTATTTTTTTCTCTCATAGGGTATAAGAAATACCGGGAATACGTGCTATATGAATGCCACTGCACAAATTCTTGTAGCATCTCCAGTTGTCCACTTGTACAGGGAACAGAGTGTACACAAGATCCCTGCCCTTGATGGAGTCTTACAACTTTATAATGCAGATAACACTGCTGCAGTGAAGAAGGCTGTACAGAGTTTGAAGGATCTTCTGCCTTCCTACAACGATGCAGAGCAACACGATGCTGGACGGTTTATGCTTGACATCCTGTCCTCGCAATGTCTCCATTGTGGTTCAAGTAAATGCACTTTCCTTCAAAGGTATAAGTTTTGATTCTACATGAATTCCCTATTTTATTTTTTTTTTTTTATTACGTAAACCTACTATAAAAATAAAATGTGCATGAGTGTCACAGTCCTAATTGCCATTTTTAAATTACCTCTTTAAAATGTGTTGTGGGTTTTCAAATAATTTTTTTAGGACTTCTTTAGGGAAGGTAGGCTAGGCTGAAAAAAGTGATACCTCAAAATTTCCAAATGTACGGGGGTCCGGAAATATGCCCAAAGCTCCAGGTCAATTAAATTTATTTCAAGGGGGCAAGACTAAACTAACAGTCTGTGCTTGGTACATGAACCTCATAGGCCCCAGACTGAGATGTGCCTGTAAAGAGCCATGATGCTCGTAAAAAACATCAGCTCTTTAAATAAACAAATATCCTGAAATGGCAGACCAGACTTGCCAAATGCTATTCAACAAACATTTCAGTATATCTATGAGTATTGATTGGGCAGTGAATATAACAAATTGGTCGGATTATTGTATCCCCCGAACAGTGGTTCGGAGGATACTATGGATTTGGCCTTGTCGCGCCGCCGCCGCCGCCCCCGCGTCCGCCGCAGAGATTTTCTTGTGAACGCTCTACAGGTCCGAGTTCTTGTCCGATCATTTTCAAATTTGGTATGAAGATGTATTAAGGAAAGAGGATGAAGCCTTTGTGGGGCAGAGCCCTGGTTGCCACAGTAACCATGATGTAAAGAAATAGTTAAGATTACTTTGTGAACACTTTACAGGTTCAAGTAATTGTTTGACCATTTTCTAATCTAGTATGAAGGTGTATTAAAGAAAAGGGATAAAGCCTATTTTGGCATGTATTTGTTTTTTTTTTTTTTTTTTTTTAGTTTCATATTAGTTTCTACTATAATACCTTTCATGTAGATTATATTTCTACCAAAATGAATACAGACCAGAATCCATGGACCTGTAATTGAAAACAAGTTGAAAAGAAAGCTACAGTACCTTAGCCTCCACCTTTTCCCCAAAATCAAACATCTGCCGCGAGCCTAGTAGAACAACATACACCACTAAACTTGTTCTGTTGACATTAACACCCACAAAAGTGCAATGCAGTTGGTTCGGGGGATACATGTGCTCGGCTGCGCAACCCGCCGAGCGCACGGTTTCTAGTTTCATATCTTTATTTGACACAAGTTCTCCTTTATCAAACAGAAAACTGCTTATAGATATTTGTTTCTCATTTATTTTATTTTTTCCATTTGGTTTACCTTCTGTTTTAGCTGTTGTCATTTGCAGGGGCACAATGAACTTAAGTGCCCTAATTGTGACGCATCAAGGCTTGGGGGAGAGCTTGATTACGGCTCCATGCCAGTAGAATGCAGAAGCAACAAATCACTCGACACCACTCTCGAGGAATTTTTCAGTTGGGCTACTGTTGACTTCAAAGGCCTTTGCGACAAGTGGTATGTCCATTTTTTTTTTCACTTAAGAACTTTAAACATGAAATCATGTTACCCTTTTTTCAGATTCCTGCACTTGTTGATATTTCTGATTTAGAAATCATTATTTTTTATGCTATTTTAAAAAAAATCATTGAGCACATTCTTTTTATTGAGATACCATGCCATTGTTATTTTACTGTTCCTAATATTGCACAGCTAGTGTATATCAAATGAGTAAAACTGTTTTTGTTTTTTCTATTAAAAAAAAAAAAATTGTTGAGAGCTTTATAATTGACATCTTCCCACTAATTTGATTTAAAGTGGACAGACCCTGACCAAGATGGAAAAGAGGCCAGTGGCAGAGTCACCGCCAGACTTTCTGTGGGTCACGCTACAGCGCTGGAAAGAATCGGAGGTCCGGCAAGCTTTGTCCGAATCTCGACTTACCAAAAATACAGAAAGGATGAATGTCAGCCATTGCCTCTCCCTTCCACTTAAAGACGGATTTATGCAGGAATATCACCTTGGAAGCTTAATGGTGAGAGTTAAAACGTATATGGTAGTATTTGACAATTTTTAGGTCAATAGGCCCAATATGAACTTATTGCCGTTGTTGTTTTGTAGTGGGTTACTAGAGGTACAAATAATTTCTACACATGTATGATTTTGAAATTCTGTTCCAAATATTACTTATGGTAATCTATGTGTATGACTCAGACGAGTACAAGACGTAAAGCAAGCTTAAAGATATTTATTTACATATTTAGAATAAAATAAAACTCATTTTGTTTCTTGAAAATGGTATAAACATGAGTTATAGTTTTAAAATACCAATCTGAAAGTCTCATAAAGAAATATCAATGGGAAATATTTTTAAATGGTTAAAATCAGTGCCAATTAATCTTTGGAAAAGATATCGATCTTTTTTTAACAGCCATTTAAATTTTCTTGTCAGATTAACTAGATGGAATTCGACTGCACGCAGTCGAAAATGATGCCTCCGTCGTAGAGCAATTTTACCAACCAAAACAGTAGAAATTTTTCAAATTCAAGTTCATTTGTAATCCATTAACAGGTTCTCAAAATATTGTGATTACAAGCAATTTCTCATATACATATATGACCCTTTGAACTTTGACATCATGACCCTCAAATATACTCAGTACATCGGCTCTGCAAGATACATACATGACCAAAGTTTGGCACGAATCCATCAATCGGTTCTTCAGATAACGCGATCACGAGAACGGGACGTACGGACGGACGTACGGACGGACGGACAACCCGAAAACATAATGCCTCCGGCTACTTCGTAACGGAGGCATAAAAATATCTAATTATGGTACTTGAAAATGGTATATGAGGTATATGAGTTTATAGTTTAAAAATACCAATCTGAATGTCTCAAATTGTGATATAAATGGGAAGTATTTTCAAATAGTGAAAATCTCAGTAAGTGTTTGAAAATGATATCTAAAGATCAGTTCTTGTAACTGCCATTTTAATTTTTTTTTTGGCGGGAATAAATACTCAAAATTTCTTTTTGTAACCTATCTAAAGCGTTGATTTCAGAGTTTTTGAGTAGATATAAAGCTATCCATATACATATTTCATCTTTACTTCTATTTAAAAAGAAGTTATATGCTCACAATGTAATCTTATGTCGTCGTTTCGTGCTATTTTTGGTTTTTGTGGTAGTAATCACCCCTTTGAATAAGTTGCTGTACAATCCCTTGATGAGAATATTTATTCCATCAAAAAAAAGAAAAAGAAAATGAAAGTGGATATTTTATGCAGTTAGGAAATGGGAGTCCCAATCCTCTTTCATTCTTGTCATTAGATGCATGAAGGAAGCAGCATGTCCAGTGGACATTACACTGCACTTGTTTGTAAGGAAACGTGGATCCTGTATGATGATGAGAAGGTGTCTGTGACTGATATTGATCTGGCATCACCTTCTATAGCTGGTGTGGGATATAAGAAAGGTATGTTTCTGTCTTTTGTAATCTACTTATCTTTAATAAATTTCCACGATTATTGACGAGACAAATGTAACTGAGAGGGATTACAAGGTATTCATTTCTGGTATGAATTTTTATTATTCATTCATGTCAGAGAGGAGGGGGAAATAGAACAAAGTTATTTTTATACATGTACAAGTATGTAAAGCTATGGTCACAAATCTGAGCGGCGACCGGCCGATCAGTAGCCTGCTCGGTCGCTGCTGGAATTAGGCATCGCCCAGCGACTAGGTTGGTGCCCGGGCGGCGACCTACCAGGCACCGAGCGTATTTTGGGCGGCGAGTGAAAAGTGAGCAGGCGCCGCCCAAATTTTAACTCCGCGCTAAAACTTCAGCGGCGACCGAGCGATGCCCTAAAATCGAGCGGTGCCTGGGCGGCCTTCGCTCGGTGGCCGGGCAGCTGCCGGGCAGAATTGGTTAAAAACTCGCCGCTCGGCCGCCGACCAGCCTACTTTTGGGTAATGTGACCATAGCATAAGTACCCTAGGACCCTCTATAGGCCAGTGATTAAAAACCCTGAAATCTGGTTGATGCTAGAATACCTGGTACTTGTTCCAAAATAGAAGAGAAACAATAATTCTGTCTCAACCACGTTAAGATAAATGAACTATTACATTAATGATTAGATTGAGGGTCAAATTCACATAGTCCAGATCCTGTATGGAGTTATCATTAGCATACAGACATATTATTTCAACTTTTCTATAATGAATTATTTTAATTAAAAAATTGTAGATACATTTTCCAATTAATTCTTTCAATTATTAATTGTAGATATGTTTTCCACAACACCCATTCGATATGGATTCAATTTAAATTCTAATTACTAATGAATTTTAATGATAATTTTTCATTACAGGTCATATGTATAAGGTTGAGAAGGCATCCTCCCAAGAAGCTGTCAACGCTGCTGCAGACTTGAAGGTAGGTTTATATATTGCTGAAAATTATACCTCTAAGTTTTACATGTATTATTGTGTAGGGATCGTATAATTATATGAGGAGTCCGTAAATAAAGCGAAGAGGTACAAGTTGATGTATTTACAATTCAATTATATTTATCAGGCAGAGTCCAGATGGCATAGGTAAAGTTGAAGAACAATATGAATATATCGAGTAAGGAGCAAAGCTCCTCAATTCGATAGTCTACCAGAATTATGTGGTGATGAGTTGGTAGCTAGATGAGAAGTTTCTCTATAATGGAGAAACTCCACTATCAGGTAAAATTTGGGGGCATCTTATTCTTACTGGGGTAAAAGTGTAAATGGTTCTAATTGGTCTATAGCACTTGCCAAAGAACCAAGACAAGATTCCTGTTGTGACTCGGTGATCAAAGTCCAAATAAAGTCTGGGTAGGGGCCCTTGAGCATTTAATGTTTCTTTCATCTGGGCCATAGATTGTGACTGCAGACATACACTTTGAACATATTTGTTTCTCTTAGATGGCTGCTGTACCATTTGCTGATGTACTTAACCACGTGGAAGCTATTGTTGCCGGAAAAGTGAGGTAATATTAATTATATTTATTTATTTATTATAAAGTTATTATCCCCTCGATGACGAAGTTGGCCGGAGAGATATAGTAACGCTGCAGTCTGTCCTTACTTCCTTCCGTCCTTCCGCCCTTCCTTCCTTCCTTCCTTCCTTCCTTCCTTCTTTCCGTACGTAACAAATGTGGTTTCCATTTGATAACTTCAGTAGCGTTTGACGGATTTTAATAAAACTTGATATGAAGGTATCAAAATACAGCCTAAGTTCAATTTTGGACAATGTAGGTCAAAGTTCATAGCTCATTATATGCGAGAATGTAGTTCCGTTTGATAACTTTCGCAATTTGTTTGACGAATTTTAATAAAATTTGATATGAAGGTACGTGGTATCAAAATACAGCCTGAGTTTGATTTCTGAGTATGTAGGTCAAAGGTCAAAGGTCATTCCATAAAGTAGTAAACATTCTGTTCATTCAATCCCCAGATATTAATATATGCCTTGGCTAGTAATAATGGACATAACTTGTTCTGACGTGCATAGGCCATTTGTACCTAGCGAGGGGATGCTATGCTTTGCGTTGTCCTTGTTTAGTTATTGACTGATATTTTTATGATTATTAGTGCGTAAATGATTTTCTATGTTTTAAGTTTATCTTGTAAATTATTGAATGTATATGCCATGTCATTCAGCCTTTGAGCTGCAATGTGGTTTTGAATAATAAAATACCATTTCAATCAATCAATCTTACGTAATGGTAAGATCGGAGATAAGTTTTAGTTATGTAAGTAGGAGCCTGTTTTGAGCATCCTTTAATGGGGGCTATTTAGACCGAGTCATGCTTCGATAGGAATGGGTTTGTTTCTTTGAAGCGTCTGGCCTTAGAGACCCCTTCCCCAACCCCCTCCTTTCTTGAGAGTAAATTGTAAGTAGTCTATGACTTATGACTCACCTGAGTACAAGTAAACTAAAAGATCATATTTGTTATTCTAGAAACCTTTTATTCAAACTATAACTGTTTAACAAAATATTTCTTTGTTTGTAATGTAACTTAGATCATCAAGACATGACCTGTTCATCGAGAGGAAATTGGTCGTATTGAAGCAACTCAGCTATGATGGACTAGGAGAGTTTTCAAATGAGGTACTAATAACAGTTTTTCATATTGCATAATTGTTGACACGCACCTGTGAAGAATTGTCTCTATTTTTGGAGAAAGAATGAGCATTTTTCACTTTTGACAAGCATGTGTCCCTATTTTTGTAAAAAAAAAGTCTGTATATATAATTGTATTTAAGATTCATGGATGTTCCTATTTTGACATTTTTTTGTCCCAGCCAAACAAACTTTGCGAGGGGGCTATAAAACAGGCTCCATACATGTGTGCGTTCTTGTGTCCATCCATGCAAAATCACAAAAAAAGGCTACTCCTCTTTCATTTGTTGACCGGTTTGGATTTTTTTTTTGTTCCATTTGGTAAAACTACATGAAACACACAGAAGTTCTACACAAATATTATTTATGCAAATTGATTCAATTTATTCCAATATAAAAATAAAAAAATGCTTCTTTTCCTTATTAAATTTAGCTATTCCAATGATGTACACTTCTGGCAGGGACATATATTTCGCACTGAGTAATTTACTCATTCTCTTGTTTTTAATCATTTGACCATATTTCTTGACTTTGAGGGTTGGCAGATAGGGTAATCTATTGTATAGGTTGATTAGGGCTATGTGTCTCCCTTGAGCAAATAAGGGATAACTTTCACTTACATGTATCATGGGTACACAGGTGAATTTGTACCTACAAAGTACATTCTGTCCATTATATTCTGTGAGAGAAGATATTGGGTCAGATGTTTATATGGGGTCACATAAATGGAACATCTTTGTCAATCCATTGATACATATAGACAATGGTCTTTTAACCCTATATAGCCCGGGCTATTTTGAAACTGTATAGCCCGGGGGGGGGGGGGGGGGGGGGGGGGGGGGGGGGGGGGGGGGGCTTGTCAGGCCCCCTTCTGAGATCTCGGCCGTTGACTGCGCATTCGCAATGAAAATCAGCACGCACGTTGCCCATGACGTAATCTCCAGTCTTATCATTAATTTTTTCCAAAACATTGTAATTTTCTTGATTATGCTAATTATACTAATTTATGCATGAAATCAGATATTTGCTGCAAATCACTATTATTAAGCTTCAAATAGGCTATTTTTTTTGTCTAGATACTTGTAGTATTCTCAACAAATTAACCTGAAAAAAATTGTGGTATAAAAATTAATTCCTTATGTATTTCATTGTTTTTTCTAATTTCTTATGTATTTCATTGTTTTTCAAACTTTTTAATTTTATTGTTTTATTTTGAGGACATTTTTTTGGCAACATTTTTTTGCAATCATAAACAGCATAAAATTAATTGACTTTAATAAATAAAAGCAAAAATAATCAAACATTAATGAATTTTAGCTGAAATCACAATTTGTATTGAAATTATACATGAAATCACGTTTTTGAGCAATTTTTGGTCTGACATGCAGGTACAAAATTATGTGTAACTTTGGAACAGGGTACCCAAGTGTCACGAATTTGGTCTCAAAAAATGAGCGAGACTTGAAAGAAAAAAGTCATGATACATGCGACAAGAGCTTCTCGCGTCTAAAAATTATCGTGAAAAATGTCAAGGGGAAGGGGGGGGGGCCTATCAGGCCCCTCCCCCCCCCCCCAAGGCTATAGGGTTCAGAAATGATACTGCACAGACCAATTGAATTGTTGTATTGTTGTATACTTGTACCCTAGCTCCATGTCACTTTCAGTGAACATTCTTTACACTGTATAAGTGAAGTTTATGGATTACTTAATGCAGGATATGCACTTGTACAGAAGTTGATTCGGTAAAATTTGACATGCAATTGTATACATCTGATTTTTCTTACAGATGGAGCGTTCAATGATGGTACGATTGTTTAAACAATACCACACAGTTTGGTAAGCTTCTGTTTCTTACCCAGCATTAAGTTGATCAAAATATAGATAATTTGCGACACAATCTAAAAAGTATAGTAATAATAATAATAATAGCCTAATAGTCCACTCCAAATTTTATTAAACCGGTAGTATGAAGATGTGATTTCAGAAACTGTCTATGATGGCAAGTATGGTATTAAAGGTAACAGAATATCTTTATTTCAAAGTGTCAGAAATTGACATCACCTATGTGGTAGATTACTAATACCACTTCCATGGTTCATCATATATTGCCCTGGCACAAAAAGATTTCTTTTACTGTTCAAGAGTTTTTGAAATGGATACCTGAAATGACATGCTCACATGACTGTTGTCACGGGGTAAGTGGTTAACAGAGGCATATCACTGAAAATTATGTTGGCCTGATAATTTTTTTTTTTTAATTACCGGTACATATGTTTGGAATTGAGTAGCAACCAACCAACCAGGATATTATATTATGCTATTTTTATGAATAACTTGAAAATATTATTGATCACAGCATTGGACAAGACTTGATTTGCAGGAATTGGATTGAACCCAAGTTTGCTGAGAAACTGAAGCTGATTGGCATTCCTAATGACATGTAAGATTATTACCCATAGAAGGCATTTTAGCTACAAGATAAAAAGCCATATTTTGCGCACCACTTCTAATCTGAACCCGAAGCAGGCAACATTTGCCATATTGCCCCCTTCCGGGTTTTCCCCGTAGACAACTGTACAAAATTTGAGGACAACATTGGGCCATAATCCATTCTTTCTTGGAGAGTGCGCTTTAACAAAGTTCAAATGTACGCGATCTAGTTTTAAGCAATGGATACCCGCGGTAAAAATTTACGTAACAATCGCTTAGGCAGGATTACATACATGCCTGAATAAACTGAAATCAGACAGACCGACAGGCAAACACACATGTCTGTCATTATTACCAAAAAAATTAATGACATGCATGAATTATACAGCTGTAGGTAATAATAATTATATTGACTGGCTCTGCCTTCGGGGAACATCGGAAATGTTACCCTTAAAAGAACCATATTGCCCTTGTCTACGACTCTGGACAATATGAATCTTTTGCAGGCAATATATTCAATGTTTCCTCAAGGCCAGTCAATATAATATAATTATGATACTAAACAATGGTGTAGCAAAGCATTATTTGGACACACACATAAATCATCCCATTGAAAGAATTCTATTGAAATTTATTGGGAAATCTATTGAATTGTCTAATTGAAGACAAAGGAACCGTCTTTGATTTTCTTGAGGTTACACATGTTATTTGACGCATGTACAGGTGGACCTATTCTATGTTCCTTGATGATGGAAATTGTAAATTGGTGTAGTTTTGATCAACAAAAATGTGGTTTGATAATTTTGTCCCCCAAAAGTCATATTTTCAGTTAGAATTTATTTGATGGATGTGTTTTTAGTTCCAATTCAATAAATGATATGTGCTGATATCTAATTGAGCAAATTGAAATAGTACATTTTGTGTTGGTGGCTAGCGAGTTGCAGCTCTTCACTGTATGAAATACATTTTCCTGCAAGCTGAGAAATTAGCCTGCGGCAGCTTGCCAGTAGTGGCGCTGTTAATCGTGAATATATAGACCATAACAATGTTGCTTTTGTTGTGTGTTTTTTCTCTTTCTCAGGGCAAGTTTTTACCTGAATTACGTCTTATACCCAGAGGCATTCAGCTTTGTGTTCAATGCAGGTATATATGTCTCTAGGAATACACATTTCTTCCTCAATAAGAAAATTTCAAGAATGTCACACTGCCATATGTCCTTCTGTCTGTCCAGCCATTCGTAAAAGTCTTGTGAACGCTACTTTCCATTCGATAACTTTTGTAATGTTTGACAGATTTTGATGAAATTTGATATGAAGGTACATATACATGGTATCATACTATAGCCAAGAATGATTTTGGAGTATGTAGGTCAAAGATCATGGTTCATCCCATAAAGTCATAAACTTTATGTTCATTCAGTCCCCAGATGTTAGTGACTTCCTTGCCTAGTAATATAATAGTATAGTCCTGTAGACATACACTGTTCTGACTGTCCTTGTTGTTTTTGTGTTGTATTTTTTTGTGATCTCTCTGAACAAGAACTACAGTGGGCAAGTCAATTATATTACTGTTTTGTTAGCTTAATGATGTAATAATCAAAATTAATTGAGCTTTCTTTGGAAAACATGATCTTAACCTGTTACTGTTGTGATAAGTGCTTGCTGAAACCCTAGAATACTTTACATACCATGTGGTACAACATTGACCGTTTCATACCTTTCATACATGTATGTGCTTTTTCTATCTGCAGAAGCTCCAGGTATCTAACTTGGGAAACAACTGATTGAAGAGGACACTCGATCTGTGTGAGATGAGGAGCTCATATATTTCCTTAGAAGATGTTCATTTAAGTTCTCAAATTTTTACAGACATAATACACTATGCGGGTACCAGTCAGTCTACAGGTCCGCAGAAAGTGGCTTCTTTCATCCAACTTGTATACATGACCGGAACAGGTTCTGCATATTTAACGAGTCAGAACCTGTCAGAAGACCACTTTTATTTTGGCCCTTGCTGCTCTTAAACATCAAATTTGATGTTTTTGGTTATAAGGTGAAGAATCAATCTGTTATTGTATTTGATTGAGTTTAATTGAATATTCGGTAAGATAGGTGAAATTGTGGATCTAGAAAGAATACAAATGTGACTTTTTCACTTGCCAAAAGTGTCATTACATCTGCATGAAGCTGAACATCTATGCTTCGTGATAAAAACACTCCTAACACATGATACAATTTAATCGGCTCAAGAACTGTACGTCAGTTGGTCCCACTGCTTGGCAATATATCATTTGAGGTAGGAACTTCAAACTTGGTACAGTCCACACTCATTTTAACGACGTGCTCAAGACCATGCCAATTACCTCATTATACATGTACTGAACACATAGACACATGTGCACATGACTGGGAGAATCTTGTTGTATCCATGCTTGTTATAACGGTAGTGGGCTGTAGTAGTATGTATCAACATAGGAAGATCAAGCAATAAGATATTGGAGTAAGTAGGTCAAAGGTCACAGTGGTATATTTACATGAAGTTAAAGGTTTTTATTATCTCAAGATCCGTTTGAGGTTAGAACTTCAAACTTGGTAATAGTATGTATCGCCATATATCAAGGAGTAATCGGTTAAGGGTCTCATATTTCTCTTATCTTGTAAGGGCATTCATTCAGACTGTGCAGTCGAGAATGGTTTTTGACACGCCATGCTCAAAACAATAGAGCTCGGTGAAGTGTGTATGGATCAGTGTCATTAAGGTATCATTTGAAAGCATATGACTTGGAATTAGTTTATAGAGCACTACCTAGTCTGCATAAATTAACCCTTTGATTTAGGGTTTTTGTTCTTTGGGGACGCACTGCATATCAGATCTGGTGAAGACTGGAATTCATTTGGAATTTGTGAAATCGAGAATCATTCCTGTCTTAATGACACTTCAATGTCTTTTGAGATCACAATGAAGTCACAATGGTCCAAATTGTCTTTGTCCGTTTTCAGTGCAAGCCAATTTGTAAACAACATTAGGTCATAATTATGTTTATCACTTTATATTTGATGAAAAAAATTATCTTGGAAGTGTACGCCCATGTAAATGAGTATGAAGCGGTAATTTTGATTCCATAAACATTCCATAAAATAAAGAATCTTGAAATATTGTGTATGGATGTATTAATGGTGCACCGTCCTCTAACATTATGCTGATGGTCCTGGTTACGAAAGGAATAGGGCATACACTGTAAAGCTACGTTTTGATACAATGATTGACAATACATTGTACATTTCAGTATAAATTAGCCTATAATTGGATTAATGATAACATTTTGTTACTTGGAGACATAGCAGTTGTATGAATGTTATGAATTATAAAGATACAAAAGAATAGATACATTTGTAATATTTTTAATGGGCATATATAGTACAAGATCAGAATATTGCAATCTGGATTAGAAGACAGGACATTTTGAGTACATGTAGTTCCGGACTCAAGGTGGTGCACTACAGGGCTGCTGTGGCTTTAAAAGCTGTGGTAAAATATTGAAGTTTTTATACTGTTAATGTTTGGCATTGGTAAAGTGGAGATCACAGTGAAGCAGAACATATTTTTAATGGTACAAATATTACCATGTAACTGACAAATCAAAAATTTAAACCATACACACTGGAGTGGCAATGATGTTATAAGATAAGATTAAGGGGCAACATGGTCTCTGCGCTAATTTCAGATATACAAGGGACCAGAAAGTGAGGGATCATGGGGAAAGTTTATCATACGGAATTTGCAAAATGCCTGTTTGCATTATAACCCATCCGTCGTGCGAGGCCGTCGGACTAACTGTAATAAATGTTTGCGGACAGTACGAAGTTGACCGACTCAGTCCATTCAAATACTTTGGGTTCTGGCATTTCTCAACAATACTTGGTCTTTAACCATATTCACTATCGAAGAAACAACTTGTATACTAATGCTCCAACATTTCCAAATACAAAACACAGGCTAGTTTACTTCTGGTTGGTTAGCCTAACCTTGGAGAAAATCCAGGTCTTGCAATCTCTTTATTTGCTTTTCCCCCAGACAGTTTGTCACCGGGGATTATGTAACACCCATCAGGCCCTCTCTCTAACGCCCGCAGTCACATTTCCGCTGTACTGCACCTTATGCAAATGGTAAAAAACTGTTTTCTACACGCCGTGCGGGCCCGCAGTGGAAATGTGACTGCGCCATCAGAGAGCTGGCTATGTAATTGTTTCATCCGAGGATACCATGCCTTTCCCCATGATCTCTCACTTTCTGGTCCCTCTAATGCATCAGAAAACAATATTTTAGTTAAGAATATCGTAGAGGAATACGTAAGTGTTCCATTTTAGAGTTCATGGGAATGCAACAGAAGTGTGAGATATATTTCAGATCAGAATTTTTTTCTCGAGATCGATTACTTTCAGTGATATTTCAAGTCTCACTTTGTCATTGATTGGAGTTTTAATAGTATCTTTCATCGATGGGAATTCTTGTTTTACTAATATATTATCAAGGCTTTTAAACTATGAGGATTTTAGTTCATTCAATCGAGAATAATGAGCTTGATTACGATAGCTAAATGTTGGTACATAAATACGTAGAACATTCTGAAATGTTTGACATGCTTAATTCATGTACATATGTATCATAACATGTATCATATCATATCGTTTTACTTCCATTGTAAAAAAAAAGAAAAAGAAATTATGTCCAGCGCTTGCCTATTGCATCATTTCATGTGGTGCTTCAAAGCGTGATTCTTTGATGTGCCGTTGTGAAAAGAAAAGCATATCATATTTTGAAGAATAAAAGTTTTGACATTTAAAATAAATACATAAATCTTTATGTTCATTTTCAGTGTACATTAATTCAAGCTGTATGATAATATTAATATTTGCAGAAAAATCATTTGGGTATTGTACAAGAACATAAAAAGTACATTTGACTTTTAGTTCAAAAATATATATTTAAAGAAGAATAAGCCACACAGTACAATTTTGGTTTAGAAGAGAGTGTAGGAGAGTCGGAGCGAAAGAGGGTGAGAAGCATGCGGTAGATCCAGAGAGCTTCTTGCTTCTGGTAAACAAGTGACTGTAGATATTAATGTAGTAGTACTGCTTAATAAATTCACATGTACATGCATTGCAATTTTAATCAGTTGCTATTCACATTCAGTTTGTCGCATAGACGATACATTTCAGAACTAGCGGTCGAAGAATTTAAATGAATGGCAATTTGACAAGATAAATAGAAAAAAAAAATGAAATTGGTTTAAACAGTAATGAACACATTCAGAAAATAACAAGGTGCTTGCGACCAAGCCAATTACCTTGTAATGAAATAGGCACATAGACCCATGTGCACATGTTTGAAACAGGGACGGTTACGTAGTAGAATTGCGTCTTTAAAAGGGAATCTCGTATATGTGCTCGTTATAACGGGAGTAGACTGTGTATATGATTCCCTAAATTCCTTCACATCTCCCCTTTCACATGTCCCTCTTAGGTACCTTTCCCTTATAAAACCACCTCTCATTTGGGACCCTTTGAAATAACATTTTAATTCCCCCCTGCCCCCCCCCCCACTAACGCAACCCTTGTTACGCTGTCCCATTCCCCCCCCCCCCCCTTTTTTTGTTCTCTCTTTTTTGCTGCGTTACATGCATGCAGGCTCATGGTTTCTTTTTTAAAATTTTGTATGGATGATCGGTTAATCACAAGTATTCCTTACACCACACTGACAGGCTTCACAGTTAATCGAAAGCACATGAGAATAAAGATGACCACTCCATGCAGGCCAGTTACATGGGCAATGAGAACATTATCTGAAATTTCAGAGAATGAGGCCTTTCTGAGACTGAAGTATTCTAATTTTTTTTTTAAAGGGAAAGAAAAAAATTGTAACTTACAGATGGGACACCCATCACAGATTCAAAGGGCATGCTTAAAATGCATAAAACGTACAAGGGCCACTTTTTCAAAGTATAAGGTGCACCAGTGGCTGTTAGTTAACACCTCCCTGGGTGCACGTAGCATTTGTGACAAAATTGATATTAAAATGGCACTTGGAATTAAGTAAGGAAAGGGTTTTGTGTTGACCCCGCCCCCCCCCCCCCACCCGCATCTCTTTCATTTAAACTACATATCATGCATGCAGCCCACATGCATAATATAATTAGATTCTGTGATGAAGCCCGGTAATAGGTGGTTGACGTAACACGATATCATATAAAGCAGCATTCAAACCAAATTAGAAGGCCTGATTAGAAAACACCCCGACATTTGCATTTACAGGCAAACTAAGCCTATGGCAACAACTGCCATTTTCACTATAGACCACCCAGTCCCCGTCGCTTCGCTGTCTATAGTTACTATTTTGTGGTCAATCATTGGCCGCAATTATCAACATATTTGAACAACGGGAATCTGCATTTCTAAACAAAGTTCTCAAATTGGCAATCGTTGGTGTAGCGAATTTGGAGAAGTTTGATTGGTTGCAAAGGCCGACCAGAATAGTTCATTTTGCTTTAGGGGTGTACCATGGCGTGTATTCAATAATACGTGAGCACGCACGCTCTCCGTTGAGATTCGGAACGGATCGGCGGCTAAATATCCCGCCGATTGGTTCCACGGAACCAATCGCCTGGCCGGAACCGATCGCCTGTGACTAGTGGAACGAATCTACGAATCCGGAACAAATCGGCGGGTACATATCCAGGCGATCGGTTCCGAGGAACAGATCGCCTGCGTGGAACAAATCGCCTATGACACCGGCAAAGTGCCTTGTGACAGGGCATAATTTATCGAGACTGAAAACAAAAACTGAAAAACCCTCTCTTCCTTTCAAATTAGGAACGTAGTTTAACTTCAAATAGTAGATCCTATTCTTTATTTGCATTATGTAATTCATGTTGAGACACAGAGATTTTTGAAAACCACTAAAAAGTAGCATTTGAGGACTCAAATATCCTGTTCCTGACTATTTAAGGCGCACTCCCGACTTCCGATATTTTGCTGACGGAAAAAAGGTGTGCCTTAATTGCGGACGTTAGGGAAAGCAGCAACCACGAGGCTAGGCTAGTTAACTACTGGCTGTATGCTCGTGCTCGCATAATGGACGCCAAATGTGGAATCAAATGCGATTCAGGGTTGCGATATTCGAGTAAAGAGCAACACAATTTTTATAGGGGTTCTTAAGAAAACACGAGTGGCTCATGATGCATAGTTATTTACATTTAAATTATTGTTTTATGAATATTCTGTGGCCGCTCGCGTGGCCCCTGTCAAATTCCACCAGCCTTCAGCATGGACCTACTACGAACCATCATGATGACAGAGAAAGTGCATGTTACGCAATGTTTACGCCTTTTCTGTTCTTTCTACAAACCGCAGCGGCATGCATGTCTGAAGTGAGAGGGCAACTTCACGAAACAAAGCTTTAGTAAACAAATCAAATTTCTAAAGGGAACCGCTTTGTGTGGAAAAGGAAAGTTATTGCCCAGTCACTGAAGAGATGTTGAGTTGTTCTGATGATACCGATTTATCGATGGTGACCGTAGTGATGATGATGGTGATGATATTGATGGACGATGATGAAAATGCTGGCTGTATGTATTGATGGCGATTATTAAAATGATGATGTAGAGAGAATCCAGCCCCCCCCCCCCCACTTCACAAAAATACACACACAAGATAGCATGGCGATAAACAATGAAAATACGTTATAGATGGAAATAAAAAATCGAAAAACGAGTAATACATAAGGAAATAAAGAAATACTTGAGGATTGAGGAAAAAATAGAAAATGATTGAAAAAAATCTAAGAAATACATAAAGTGAACACATTTACGAAGGAAACCAGAAGAATGATTAATAATTGCTTCATAAAGATCTACATTACGTATGGAAAGAAAAAATGATAATCGAAAATACATGATTGATAGAAAGAAAAACATGGAATTAAACAAGGGGGTGATTGTGGAATGGGGTAATTTCCAGGGAAATGTAAATGTCCACGGGGGGGGGGGGGGGGGAGTAATTGGCCGGGGTGATTGCCCAAGGGTAATTCTCCTAGAACTAGAACCGTAATGAACAAGAGAAGGGAATATACAAGCATAGAGAGGGAGAGGGAGAGAGGGTGGAACAAAGAATTGCAAAAACAGAAAAGATGAGAAAGATTCGAACAAATGCATACGCTTAGTTTTCAGGGCAGAACTGCTCTCTCTCTCTCTCTCTCTCTCTCTCTCGAAGGTTCAATCATCACTACTAAGATCACGTGATCTTACCGCGCAAACATGATCTGTTTATAAATAACTTCTGAGATAAACGCATGTTGCCAGACACCTTGTCTCCAAAGTACCCTTTGTTTAGAAACACTTATAACATAATACGAAATATACGCTACGCTAGCTCTCCTCATTCAAACATTCAATTCATTGGTGAACAAATTAAATTTGGAATTGATTAATAAGTTCTCTGCTTGTTTCGTGTGTCTATGTTTGTTCTTATTTTTAGTTAGATTGTCTTCTTCTTTTTCTTCTCCTTCCTTTTCTTCTCCCCCTTCTTCTTATTCCTCTCCCCCTTCTTCTTATTCCTCTCCTTCCTTTTTTTTCTTCCCCCACCCCTCTGCTTCTTCATATCCACTTCTTCTTTTTCTTCCACCCCCCGGTCCCGCCCCTCTGCTTCTTCACCTACTCTTCTCCCCCCCCCCCCCTCTGCTTGTTTATCTCCCCTTCTTCTTTTTTCCTCTCCTTCCTTTGTTTTCTTCCCCAATCCCCTCTGCTTCTTCATCTCTTCTTCTTCTTTTTCTTTACCCTCACCCCTTTGCTTCTTCATCTATTCTTCTCCCCCCCCCTGCTTCTTTATATCCCCTTCCTTTTTTTCTTCCCCAATCCCCTCTGCTTCTTCATTTTCTTCTCCCCGCCCCCTCTGCTTTTCATCTACTCTTCATCTTTTTCTTCTCCTTCGTTTTCTCCCCCTGCTTCTTCATATCCCCTTCTTCTTTTTCTTCTCCTTCCTTTTCTTCTCCCCCTTTTTCTTTTTCTTCTCCTTCCTTTTCTTCTCCCCCTTCTTCTTTTTCCTCTCCTTCCTTTGTTTTCTTCCCCAATCCCCTCTGCTTCTTCATCTACAGGTGTACTCTTCCATCTTTTTCTTCACCCCCACCCATTTGCTTCTTTATCAACTCTTCCCCCCCCCCCCCCCCCTCTGCTTCTTTATATCCCGTTTATTCCTCTCCTTGGGCCTTTTTTCCTTCCCCAATCCCCTCTGCTTCTTCATCTACTCTTCTTCATTTTCTTCTCCCCCGCCCCCTCTGCTTTTCATCTACTCTTCTTCTTTTCTTCTCCTTCCTTTTCTTCCCCCTCCCCTCCTTCTACATATTTCCTTTCTTCTTTTTCCTCGCCTTCCTTTTTTTTTTTTTTAAGGTCACGAACGTGATGCAAGCAGCGCGAGCATAGGTCCTAAGTTGACCTAGATATCTACGTAAGCTTCGCGTACCACGTGCGTCCAAAATCTAGATCCAGCATGCATATAGTGTTATTAGCATAGGCTATGCCTACAGGCTACACAATGTAGCACTATTAGTATTAATTAGGACTTAGCTGTTGCAAAGAAAGTATCTCTTAATCCTTGGAATTAAAATATGGAAACAGGGACTGATGTGTCATTGGCATAATGTAAGGTGAGACCAAATTGTTCATATCATTAGTCTGATGAATGCTCAATTGAACCATTCTATTAAGTTTAGGCTAGAGCCTAGGCTAGGCATGACGATGTGGTACGGTAGATCTATGCTAGCGTTTGCCGTCCCCGTTGCCGTCCGGCTAGCGACTGCTAACTTCATGGACCCTGGGCCTAGCTCCTCGAAGATGTTTGGCAGAAAAATATCTAAAGCCTACGGTGGTCATCTACTCTTAGATCTAAATCAGGGGGTCTAGACTAGACTTTAGGCTGCCTTACTCATATTGCTGTGAGAGTTGGTGAACACCAAAACAAATTAGTGAGCGTCTTTCCTACAAACACTCGACTCTCCCATACACTCTACGTGTATTTGTGTATAATTTTCGTGCGGTGCGATTCATATTTTAACACGCAAATTGTATAGGCAAATTGATCTGCAGTTGACTTCTCGACCAATTTGACTTTTCAACGTGACGTCATCGGGTCTTGTCGCGTGCGAGTCTTAAAAACGCACGACTTCAGCACGCGCATCATTTCAAGGCGAATATAGTACCGGGCAGATTTCGGGCAGATTTCGGGCTGATTTCGGGCTGATTTCGGGCAGATTTCGGGCGCGACCCGAACATCGTTTCTTCAGCTACGCGCTTCGGGCATCGGGTCAGCCCGCTGCCAAAACCTTTAGGCAGTAGTGTATATATATATATATTACCTTTGCTTCAGAGGATCAATTTGGAATAATTATTCAGTACATGCAGTTTTTCAGTTTATACCCACACGTTGACTTTCTTTATAATTATATTATATATTTTGATATTTGGATGTAGAGTTAACTTGATTGATAATTGCAGCTTTTTCACTTCTTCACTTTCTTTTCTTTTTCCCTCTCTTGCTCCCTGTCCTTGTCTATTCAATTTTATGTTGTTTCCCCCTTTTTCTTGTAATGATTTATTTGTAATATGATATACCTGAATGATTTGTAATGTTTGTTTTTTTGTATTAATGATCTACATTGTATTTCTATTCATAATTTATCAATTTCATTGTACTGAATTTAATAATGTTCATAATCATGTTGAAAATGTATACAATCCAACCCTTTGGTTGCTATGAATGAATAAAATAAAGAAAAAAAATAAAGAAAAAAAATCAAAGAAAAAAAGCCCAGGTGGTCCTAGAATAGACCGCTCAATCCATGCCATCCTGGATTCCCTGAAAGCAAATTCAAGGGTGGCCGACATTGTCATTGACAATGAAGTTTCCTTCAAAGAGAGGTTGGGGTAGCCAATGACAGCCAATTTTCATATGAACAAATTTGACCCACATTCGTCTATGAATTACCAGACACAGTGACAGGAAAAGTCGCGACTTCTACCTCTATCAGAGAATTCCGTGGATTTTTGAAGACTGTTGAGAAGTAGAATAAACAGTAGATCTTCTACAGACTAACTGTTTTCACTACAAGTCCAACTCCCCTCAGATATCAACATTTCATCTTGATATAGTAGTGTTGTGTTATATATTTTTTCAAGCTCATTTGTTAAGGTTTCTTAGCAACTACATGTCAATATGGCAAGTTCATTGATGATTTTATACAAGATAGTTCTGATTCATTAGACACCGATTTAACATTTTGTTTTTTTCCGCAGGGAACCTATACCATATTGGGGAGGCCATCGTAGAATACTTTTGCGTAGTCAGCAAGCTGACTAATGATCTGCAGAGAGCACTCGTCAATGCGTGGAATAAAGAGAATATCTGTCACCTTCGATTGCCTAGGCCTTATAGGGTCCTTGGTTGCCCGATCCTAAATGAAGGGTTGTGGGAAAAGATGAGAACATACTCCAGCTGAATAATCTATATGACTGCGCACCCAACATGCTGAAGAATTGGGCAGAGGACCCCCAGTCCTTGCTTCTTGACGGGTGAACTTGTTCACATTTTTAATTTGTAATAAAACTAAATTAAATTGATATCATACGTATATATTCAATATTTCATTTGTAGGGATGCAAGACTAGCCTCTTGATGGCTCAACGAGCAAAACGGATTATCAGGTGTCAGGAATGCCAAAAACCGAGAGTTGTATACAGCAACAACCCTAAGAAGCTGACAGGGACAGACTTACTGGACATTGACTTAGTCATCCTTCGCAATGATTATACATATGGATCTCCACTTCTCCCTGTGCATCACCGTCTGTTTGGAAAGGTATGTACATAAAATAACAATTGAGTAAAACATGAAATGAAAATGTATATCACCCTACTTTTATATCAATTTAGTATGACCGCGTTGAACTTAATTAATTTTGTCATTGTGTTTAATGTTTGCTTTCAGGTGTTTGTTCAGATTGGCTTAATATGCGGCAATACTATCGAGCAGCCATGTTACACCTCATCTGTAGGCATCCCCGATGTATGCTGTCACTGTGGCAGTAGTGGTGCTTCCAGACCACAGGATCTTGTAGCCAAATACAAAACTGTGCTTCCTGTGTGTGAGACTTCTTTGGAGTCCGGAAAGAAGCATGTTACAGCTCGTATTCATCCTGGCCAAACCCACACATAGTAGAACTTTCTTATTTATATAGAATAGTATGCAAGGTAGACAGATCAGTGTCTAATAGTAAAAACATTGTTCTTTTGTAGTCTTTTAATGCAAAATTATTTAGTAACAAGGAGGTTGGTGGCTACCGGCCCCCTCGCTGGTATGGCCCTGTTTCATTACTAACTATATATATATATTTGTCAAGAGCGCATTCTGATACAAAAAGAATTGATAAATCATAATTGTCAAACAAATCTTTCTTTCATTTTGATATGTTGTTAGCCTTTTCCACAAAAGGCACATCAGGACTATCAGGTAATACTAGGCCTAGTTAATACAATAATACTATTGTTTGATTTAGAATGGGCAGACAGTCTTCTTCAGATGCATTCTTTCATGGCCAATCAGAAGACCCTGCGGAAGACACACTAGCAAAAGAGGAACCAAACTCTGAGCCTAAGGAACCACCGGGACAAGGTCGAGGCTGTTGAAAGTAGGTATGACTTCATTTTTGAAATGCTAGTTTGGTGACTGATAATCACATTTTATTTGTCTTGTTAATAACAAAACAATAGTAAACATGTTTCTTTTTCTTTTAATTATTTCCAATGTCTTTCAGGATTCGATGTGGCAAATTATATAGGAAAGAAGTTTTCCAGAGGAGAGAAGTATGAAGCACATAAGAATGTGGTGATTCCAGGGCCTCGTTATGACTTCCCAGTTAAAACGTACACACAGACGAATGGGAAAAGTAGGAAAAGGTGAATACAAACAATCTTTTCCCTGTCTTCTTTTCAAAATGTTCTTCTTCGTGAATTATCTTTTTCCCTACCCCCTTCTATGTGGTCACATTCGTACATCTAAATGCCAATGCGTTGATCTATTCAGGAGTTTCCAACATCAAAGGTTAACAAGGTATCCTGGCCTGGCTTACTCTTCCAGCCAAGATGGTGCGTACCACTTGGATTGTGTGCTGTTTGTGACAGATCCTAAAAGACATGGTGTTTTGGTTAATAAACCATTCAAAAAAAGAAAAGGTGCCATCTTTACCTTTGAAAAAACCACTTGAACAACGTGAGGAGTGATCCCACTAAAAGAGCCAGGGTTACAAAACTCACAAGAAGTGCTGTGCCATATCCCTTGAACTGAAATGAGTACTAAGCAATGAACAGGCCATGATTGTGAAAATTCCACATTGTCTCTCATACAAATAGTATATGGTTTATTTGAATGGTGTTCAGTTTTTAAGCGCAATTGGGAATTTTGCGATACAAGTGCTTGATTGTTATAATCCAGCTCTATCATGTATATACTGTCGTTTGTCTTTAACCAGATACACGGTCTTCATTAATAGGTCCCAGTGGATAATCTGATTAGGGCGGGAGGGCAGGAGCAGTTCATGAAAAACACAAAATCATTGGAATCCATACTGAACAATCAACTTTTTTGTGAAAGACAGGTCATAGAGATGACACCAGATACTTGGAAGACAAACACAACCAAGGAAACTTCACTGAACTTCTAAAGTTTAGGAATATATATATACGTCTAGTGAGAACATAATTATCTCTGCATACTAGTTGACCGTTATTGGTGAAGGTGAACTTTGTTTCTTTATTTGTTTGGAAAATTACCAGTAGCAATACACTCACTCTATTTTGCCTAATATTTCTTTTTTCAGAGTTAAGTCTGGTGATGAGAATCTGAGAGATCATTTTTCAGTGTCAGACAAATGCAACGTACAGATCAAAATCAACACAGGCTGAATTAATTGAAATTATCAGTCATCAAATCAGAGATGGAGTGACCAAACAGTGCAAACATCAGGGAGCGCACCTGTAGAAGAAAGTGGATTTTTCACTGTGGTTGCTGATGAGCTGCAAGAAAGGCAGGGAAATGAAAAGGAAGCGAGTGTACCAGCTGGGGACGATATTGTGGCAGCATTTGACCGCCTATTCAAGACGTGTATTTAAGACCACAAAGAAAAGCAATCTCTGTGGAAAGACCTTTTCCAAGTAATGCTCTCCATGATCACAACATTTAACAGACGACTTCAGGGTGAAGTTTCGCAATTATTTTACTCACAGAAACTATGAAAGAAGTCATAGACAGGCTTATTGCAGAAAGAGAGAGTATTGAAGTGGATGATGTGAATTGCGGTTCCCTGCTCATCTAATCACTTCAGAGGTTTTGATTGCCTAATGAAGGGAGCATGCAAACAAGAGTGGTGCAAAAAGACCTGATCTGCTTCGATCAACAGCACTCAGAAAACAGCTAGCAACTATGGTCCAAGTGATGAATTTGCAAAAGAACGAGTTGGATGTCAAAGCTAAATTCCTAGGCCATGATATACGCATCCACAGAGAATTCTATCGGATGCCTAATGCAACCATGCATACCATTCAATCCTTTGGACCCTGACAGCATTGATAATCAACGTCTGAAGTTAGAAAGATGTATAGCTAATATGAAGTCATGGATGTGCCTAAATAAGTTTAAGCTGAATGATTTTAAGAGTGAATTTCTAATACTTCATTTAATATATCAAAAGGTTGATTCACAAGTCCATTCCATTCAAATAGGTGATTCAGAAGTAATATCAGCAAACTCTGCACATAATATTGGAGATCTGTTTGATAGTAATATGAACATGAATGACTTTTTTTTTAAAAACATGTCAGTCCAACTCTTTTCATCTGCGTAGTATTAGTAACATTAGAAAGATATTTAATATTTTTAAGGGATGTAGAAAGAAGATGTCGTTTCTAGAAGGATAGATTAAACAGGATCCCCCCTCCCCCCCAATTGAAGACAAGTGTCATCCGTGATCTAGGGCTCATAATAAAATCCTGAATGACATTTATAGAGCTGTCAAAAACAGAGGCCAAGAGATTAGTCTACAACATACCGTCCTATAAATAGTCCGTTAAATATAATATAAAATCAGATCCTTGACATGGTACTGCGATTACATCAAAGATTTTCAATTACTTGCCCAACTTGCCTGGAAAAAATATATTTGCGTACAAGCAAGTTTGTCTCCATCAAAATGTCTACTTAGCGTAGCTGGGCATATCATCCCCAAATGCACACAGCTGAACCTAGAGACAGAAGACATACAAAAAAAGAATGCAAGCAACATGGTCTAGTTCGCTCACATAGCCAAAGAGATATCATGGAAATATAGAGCTAACTATTTTGCAATGTCACATTGCATGGTCTGTTTTTGGCACTGAAACATCCTAATAAGTCTGCAGAAGATCTAATTTTTTTTCAACTAGGTTTTGCAACTAGGTTTAAAAATTTGCTTGTCCATTTAGACCTATTTTACTAGGTCTAGGCTTTGAATAAGGCTAGCTGGTTTAGTAATCAGATCCTATCACATGGTCATACACAAACTGCAATCAAAGACGTTCAACACACAAACCAGAATCACAGAAAGAAAATCTTAACTATTTGATATAACCAAATTTTCCGTAAAATTTTGATTTTTTTTTTTTTGAAGAAACACTTTCACCAACAATATGAATGTGCTGTTTGAAGCATACAACTATACACCATTATTTGGCGGCTGAATATTTGAAGAAAATATGTTTAGATACGCAGACAATCTTTTACAATTTAAGGTAATTTAAGCTAATATTTGAATCGAAAGTTATCCTTTTTTCATTATCGAGCATAGAGTCACTCTCTAGAGCAAGATGGGGTGTCTTCTAATTCATTGTTGTTGTGGGGTTGTTGTTGTTTTTTTTTTTGGGGGGGGGAACTACAGTATATGCTCAAATATTTCATTTTTCTGAGCAATGTTTTAGATTATAAATGATGGATCAAAACATATTAGTAACCATTTTACCGCTATAAAGATCAGAAAACATAACCCAAAAATTTCAATTAAATCTAACAGTCACACTAGGCTTAAGTCACACCCTACAAAACAATGCAAAGGTTTCCACATACATGTATAATATGGAAACAGACTCATCGACACAACTTCGCAACCATCAATCATGGCTATGACACAAACAAGACAGCCAAACCTCTCTTGTGATCCTCATTCTGGAAACAATGCTTGAGTGACTATGGATGCACTGTCCTGCTGCCATTGCCAATGTTCTCTACGTCCCTTGAATACTTGTGATCCTCATTCTGGAAGCGATGTGAGGAGTGACGATGGATGCTCTGTCCTGCTGCCATTGCCAATGTTCTCTACGTCCCTTGAATACTTGTGATCCTCATTCTGGAAGCGATGTGAGGAGTGACGATGGATGCTCTGTCCTGCTGCCATTGCCAATGTTCTCTACGTCCCTTGAATACTTGTGATCCTCATTCTGGAAGCGATGTGAGGATGGATGCTCTGCCCTGCTGCCATTGCCAATGTTCTCTGCATCTCTTGAATACTTGTAATCCTCATTCTGGAAACGATGTGAAGAGCGACGATGAATACACTGCCCTGCTGCCATTGCTCATGTTCTCTGCATCCATACCTGCCAACATTTGAAAATAAGAATTAGGAATTTTAGCATGGTATGCCTTCAAAAATAAGAAATTGCACTTGCAGTGGCAGTGTAACTGGCAGTACGCAATAAAATCTGTACCAAAAAGTGAATATAAATTTGCTGCTCGATCATGCAGCCATTCAACGCACGCCCATGATAAAACAAGCTCAATTTGCCTTGAGCACAAAACAAAAACAACCAAATTCGAAAATCCTAACAATCTGAATATTCTGGATTATTCGGAAGGGTTGGCAGGTATGCGCATCCCTCGAATACTTGCGCCCCCCTGCCGGCCGAATTTAAAGTTCAAATGTTCAGATTACCTGCTGTACTTTGATGATGTACTGTTCTTGAAGAATGAAAGAGTTTGTGAAACAGTTCTTTCTGTAAATGATGTGATGGGTGTCAATTTTCTGCTATGAATCGTTCCATTTCTCAAGCACTGAACATGAACACTGGTATCCCTCAGTTGGGCAACTTCACGTTCAGATGTGCAGATTCCTTACAAGGCTTGTTGCAAATAGTGAAGTGACATACCCATGCAAGGGCAGCATAAATGTCTAGTTTCAGTCCCTGAAGTGGATGCAGCTACTCTCCTTGGGGCAACGTTGCATTTGCAGCAATGCAGCTCTTCAAAATCATGATGCCCAGATAACTGTAGGTATTGTGAAAGCATAATGAACATAATGGAAAAATAGATAAATGTCAAACTCAAAGTCAACATAAAAGAAATAAAACTGTTTTATTATGCAGTAGACCCATAGAGATATATACTTAATAAGGCTAGAGTGCGGACTCGTCATACGCGCCCGTTCAAAGCTCTGTGCGCGCATGGAGCGCGGTCCGCCATTACTAAGGAGGGCACAACTTCGAGAAATACCCGGATGTTCCCTTCGAAACTGTGCTACTGATAAGCAATGTGAAGCTTCATTTTTCGAGTTGATTTATCGGTTTTCGAGTATGAAACGTTATAATTGTGGTATTTTGCATAATGCATGAACCCTACTCATGCCTCAGTCATGGTATCTGGTGTAGGTCAAGATTAATTACGGGTGTTATGGTGAGGTAAAAGGGACACAAAAAGCTATTTATATTTCAGTATATCTTCATTTTTTCTTCCTCTTTGTCAATATAAAACTGCGATATTATGACATCAAATATTACTTGGCTTTCAACCAATCAGAATCAAGCATTTGGGACTTGTATTTGATATTTATGTCATGATATTAACCAAAGTTTTATGCTATAGGGCCAATGCCGGGGGTCAATGTCTTTCTAATTCAGTTATTATGAGAGCCAGGGTTTATTGATTTAAAACGCTTTAAAGGTTATATATTCATTTTATGTTTATGGCTATTATAAACAGATTGATACTTATAGATTTGGGATAGAGATGGGTATAGCTAGACACATAAATAGATGGATAGATAGATATAACATAGAAGGATAGGTAGATAATGGAAATGCAGATATAGGACGATACTGAAGATAGGAAGAGGGGAAAGGAAAGAATTATACACATTTATTTAAAAAAATTATGTTATTTACTCATCCAATCATTCATCCATCCATCCAAACATTCTTTTTCTTCTTCTCTCACTCATTTAATATCAAATTCACACCTTATGTCTTTCACCTAATCTCTATAAAATTTCTATATGTCTGAAAGAATAATTCAATTTTTTACAGTTCACTATAAATATATATGAATATTCTTTAAAAACAGCTGATCATTGATGTAATAATTATTTATTCACATCACCTTTTTTCTCCATAAATAATATTCTCCTTGATACAGTGTATTTCTTATTTTCTTCATCAACCAGTTTTAGAGAATAAACTTATAATTCAATTTGAAGGAAAAAAAATGAATAAATGAACCTTTTATTACCACACGGCACACGTGTGTTGATATTCTACAGCATAGGCATTTAAGTTTTGACATTTTATTATACTGCAATAATACAACACAATTGAAAGGACAGACATTGCAAAAACAACACCTCAGATTTTAGCCCCAAATTTACTGTCACGGATCATAGGCAACACAACCACGACAAATTGATTCGCCACCAAAGACAAGCATTACACATCCCAAAACCGCCACAATAACTCCCAAAACATAAATGTCAGGAGGCCAATGTCTATGTGTCAAGATGTCAGCGATAACGAACACTTTATTAACTAGTCTTGGCTCCAAGCGCACGCAGGCGCGTTACATTTACTAATAATACAAAGACATTTCATCGAGTAATAAATGCAAACCAGAAAAAGTAATTGAGCATATATATTCCAAGTCACCTGTATTGCTATGAAGAACTATAATTGAAGAGACTTACATCTCAGGATACTGCACTACACTATTCAGTGAAACCTCATAGTAACATGGTCTTTTGACATCATTATTCATCAGGTATAATAATAAATTTCAAACTGATTACCCTCAAATGTACACAGTAGATACAACAAGCCAAAGAGTGCACAATCTTATGGGTTTACATCTAGTGACATTATTCCATATAATTGTTCTGTTACCAAATCTCTTCAAAAGCAGTTTTCCATTTTGGAACAAAATTCAAACCTATGTACAAAACGATCTATGGGTGTGTATACGGTGTGCAACTGTGCATTACACAAGCTTTTCAATTGCAACACATCTGTGAATTCTTCTCGTTTATTGAAAATGGGCTCACTTGATGTGAATTTCTTGCTTTTCATCTTTAATGATGTAAATCACTTGGTTGAGAGCAATCCAGACAATGTTATAAAAAAAGGTCTACATGTTTATCTCAGGTTATCCATACTGTACCTGCAGAATCAAAGCACATGTAGAGTGCAAATAATTTGCAAAAATTATAGCAACTGAATCAGATACAGCAGGTACAATTATGAAGCTTATAGAGTAAATATTCAAATACAGTGTACCTCACAACAACTCAAAATTCAAGTACATTTTGTTTAACCCCTAATTTAATCAACTCTTCTAAGTTCCACTTTAGTTTGCCTTCGTGTAAAGTTAACAACAGAAAATTATGGTTAGGTTGTGCAACTGTCACAATGTGTCCCAAGAATTTTATTTCATTACACAGAACAAAAGTCTCAGATTGTTCTGTTTTTTTAAAAGATTATTGAAAGCTCTCTCCAGTTTTAAACGGCTTCATAGTCAATCATCCAGTGGATAAGCTATGCAGACAAGAGGCAAAATATAAAAGACTGATCTGTCTTTGTAGTTTGTACGAATGAAGTTCTATGTTTTGGTTTTTTTTCCTGAAAATGCGTTCTCTCCAAAGTTGTGTTGAAGTAGGTCAAGCTGATCCTGGCTAATGAGCTTGCTTTCGTGGACTTCCTGCAAGAGAGTCCTGGTTTTTCCATCTCTCCTGTTTACCTTGTTTCACCACTTGAAGCTGTTTCTTGGCATCCTGCACTTGCTGTCTGGTTATATTCAGTTTCTAATCAACTCAGACAGAAAAGAATAGTCATGTTCTTTTGTAATGTCATAGGGTTTCTTTGGAGGCACGGGAACACTTTCGGATGTTGTACATGGTTTTGCTGGGAGTCTTGAGCCATGGGTCTGTTTATAGGGAGGATGTCCAGGAAAGACAGTAGGCACAGCTCTAGGAATGAGATGTGGTGTGTAACATCCTTTCCTCTCTTGAGTGTATTCCTGCATTACAATAAAAGCAAATGGAAACAATAACGAGTTTTTTTCTCATAACATGACAATTGTTCTACTATTCATGCTATTTCATGTGATTTTTAAGACTGAAACTGAAAGCAGCTTCCAGCCAAATAAATAAAATAATAATAATGTCAGCAAGTCATAAGCAAATTTGATAGAAATAGTGTAGTGTGCGGTGGGATTTTTAGGCTTGCCTAGCCTAGTTGGATAACTCCTGTGATGTGAAATATGGCAGGCTAGCCTGGCTTAGACCAAAAGCTTCAGTCTCTCTATATCGTCGGTTGTTCTACTGAGACTGCGTCTGGCTCCACTAGACCTCTGATTATATTATGGGGAATGTCAACAAATGTCAGTTTTATTAAAGAAATGACCCATATCAGACGGTTATTTCTGTCTAACCTGGCTTTGCTGTTCAGGCTTTAGAAATTAGAGACTAGAGTTTAGATCTAGAGTCTAGAGTCTAGATCTATCATCTAGCTCTAGTCTAGTCTAGTTAAAATATAAAGAAGCTGACATTTGATTTTTAATTTATCTTGAAATTAGATAAGATCAAATTAATTATATCATTTTATTCTAGACTTTTCTTTAATAGAATCAAGCTCATGGAGTTATATTTCCGAGTTGGACTCTCTGACTCTTGGAGTTGCGAGCGACTCCAGCGCAGCAGAATTTTCCCATCACCATCCCCAGAACCTTAACCCATGCCTGCCCCAGCCCGGCGGGCGTGGACTGGCGCGCTCCGCTGCTGCAGGAGCTGCCGTGGCTTGTCATGAGACAACCCGGGTACAGACTACAGTCACTGCATTATCTGCATAAACTACATTTTTAGCTCTAAAATCTCCTTATTAATCAACATAACATTAAGAAGAACTTACTTGTGAAATATTATGCAGTTCCCTTTCTTTCTTCGGTTCGAACATCCAAATGCAACGCACGAACCTGGCTTCTTCAATTTTTCCACGTATGTTGTGCACAGTATCTTGTTGGGTCGTCCGTTTTTCTGCCCTCCTTAGTAATGGCGGCCACCGCTCCAGCTCGGAGCAGCAATTTGAGCGAGTACGCCCTCTAGTGTTTAGTAGTATATATCTCTATGAGTAGACCCTATCTCTTGTGGCTATTGATATTGTGACAAAACATATCTTTCAAGATGTTAAGACATCCAAAACCAATGGACCCAACACCACTTCAGTAATGTACAAAAAAAAGGTTCAAAAATTCATTAGCAAAATTGTTAAAAAGCATGGTAGACCTACTGAATTAAAAATTACAGAGACGAAACCTAGAAAACGCCAATTTGATGGTTTCATTATAGAGTAAAGGAGCCGGTTTTTGGCCACTTAAGACACCATATTATTTTTTGGACCCTTTACTTCCTCATATGAACAAATTTGACCCACATTCGGCCAAAAGATCAATGAGGCATTTTGTGTACCTCCCACACAGACGACGAACGTTCGAGTGCACTAGAGCGTAACACCAAGGTACCGGACTCGTCGATATTTATGAAATAGGGGTTTATCGTAGAAAACTGGTGAGAGTGTGAATGTCAACACCGCTGTGCAAGCGTGACTTGTCAACTCTCTGTCTCTGTCTCTCTCTCTCTCTTCCCTCTTCTTCTCCCCCCCCCCCCCCCCCCCCCCCCCCCCCCCCCCCCCCCCCCCCCCCCCCGAAAAACAAATCAGGAAATTATATATGTTAGTCTAGAAGATGCAGATGCACATCACAATGCATAAGTCCATTGTCATCCCTCCGTCTAAGATGGGCGGGATCACCCTGCAATATGAATACACGATTCCTTCACTACCAGATCGACCATGAATATTTAGATCTGCTCATAAAGCGAGTTCAGAGTGCCACTAATTTGCTAAATTTCAGGAAAACTAAAGAATTCAGTGTCTCATGAGAGATATAATCTAATCCCTACACATCTTTTTTGTAAAAGATCGTCAATAATATCTAAATTCCTTTCAGTAAATTGCTGAAATCAACATAAAATGTGTCTTTTCCATCGCCGCGGAGCTGAGTCAAATTCGATGGTCGAAATACGCACGGCTGCGAGCACGGTGTGTAAGCCTCATTGTCCGCTGTGTTAAAACCTCGCTTACGCACAATGCATAAATTACGGAGGTCGATGCGTAAATTTCAAAAAGCTTCTTTTTATTGGATTGAAATTGGCCCTAATTTCTCGACAACCAATCAAATTATGTGTTACATCAGACGACACGGGATTATATACACTATGATTTGGCGCCCGAGATGGCCCAATAACAAGTCGCAGTTACAAGCATTAGCTCCTTGAAGTACACAACCCCAGTGAAAAAGGCGAATTTTCCTGTGACCTCCATAGAGAAATCACAAATTGAATGATTGTTGTCCATTTTTGAAGACAAAAAGGCCCTATTTTCCGGTATTCAAATCAGTTCGAAATTGGTATCAGTGGAAAGAACAGTATTTGAATATGTGATTTCCACCCGAGATGGTGTGTAATCAAAGTTTGTTTACCTCGTAGGAGCATTTCTTTGCACACTTAGCGCATTTTCAAAGACGATTTCACGTGTTGTAGACCGCTGAGCGAGACCGCGTGAGCAGATGCCCAAAATTTGTTCATATGATTTATTTTCATTTTTTGTTCAAATCATGAAGCAAATATTATTATTATTTAAACAAAACAACAATCCCAGAAAAAAATCACGAATTGCAATGACAATATTCATTTCAATTTTCACTGTTTCGGAGTCAGTTTTCGGCATAGCGTACCAGTTTTCGGCCGCATGTACAAAGTCAATAGGAAGTGCGCGCACGCGCCATGCGTTTCCACGCTGATCTATAGCACTAGCGGGCGGAGCAGATATCCCACGCCGGAGCTCCCCGGAGCTCGCCAGGCCGAAAACTAGTACTGCGGTGCTGGGATATTGGAATCTGAATTAGACAGAGATATCGTGTGTGCGTTGCGGTGTGCGGCTGCATTGATTCAATACATGCGATGAGATACTTTTGAGCTTGCGACTAGCACAAAATCGGGCTCTAAATCTGAAAAATACTTGAAATAAAGCCATTTTATGGTACCCGTATTTCTTACAGACATGCGTAAGATACTCAATTGTTCAGATTCGGGTAGCGGGACCGCCGATTACATCGCTAAAATGTGATATTTTAGGATATATTTTTCATTGCAAATGTGGTTCTTCAGTGACACTGGCATGGTATGGTATGTGTGGGATATGTGTTATGCTATTATGCGATGTATTTTAGAGGGATTTTACCTTGCATCCAACCAATTGGCCGAAAACTGGAGCTGGCCGATTACCGGCTCCTTTTACTCAACACTAACATTTAACATCCAATGCCAATGGAAGCAAATATTTTTTATCAACTTCACACAATTATTTACTCTCCTCAATTCTTGCTGGAACAGCTGTACTAGAGTCTATGTGAGCCGATAAGAGAAAATATTACTATTTTGTAATTGTATGCAAGGTTTTATACTTTTAATCAAGAAGTTGGAGTCGAATTTGAAGAAGAAAGGGGAATTTATCCTTTTTTTTTATCATTTTATACGAATCATAACCTAAAGATCTGAACAACTTGTTAGCTTACGATGGGATACCAATTTTAACATTGCCAATCTCTGGAAACATCTTGTTTTTGTTCGTTTGATTTTTCACTTTATTTTGACATTTCCCGTGTTTATTGCACACAATGGCCCGAATTCACAAAGCAAGGTTTGAGCTCAGACCAAGGTTTGAGCTCAAACCTCCTTTTGTTTCGCTAAACCTCCTTTTGTTATTTACAAACCAGGTTTGTAAATAACAAAAGGAGGTTTGGCGAAACAAAAGCAGGTTTGAGCTCAAACCTTGGTCTGAGCTCAAACCTTGCTTTGTGAATTCGGGCCATTAGGTCTAGTCTAGACTAGGGTCTAGTCTAGTCTATAAATAAGCCTCCAGGAATTGTACTAATTTGTTCACATCAATATGAAATTATGATTGATTATAGGCCTATTGTGGAATGAAATGGTGCTAAAATTTGGGCCTTTAGAAAACCCTAAATCCACCAGCTTCAGGGGACTCTGCCCCCTGCTACCCCGTGTTACTGTTAGGGCTTCGCGCTTCGACCCTGGACCCCACCCTTTTTCGGCTCCGTCGCTACTCTCCCTCTCAGCACAGTCAACCATACAGAGTGGCACTTCAACTACAAATTCTTTTCGTTTTGGCACTTCTAATAAACTAGACCTCAGAGTCTAGTTGAGAAGGCCTGGTCTAGGGTCTAGATCTAGATGATAGACAAGGAAGGATTTTTAGCACACAAAACTGATCAGTGCGCAATCAGACCTTGTTATCAATCAACGAGATGAAAGGGGCTGAATCAACATCAATTCCAAGCACACGTCACCAGGCCAGCATGTAAAGTTAGAGGCAAGTGCAGCAGCATAATATAGACTCTAGTCTAGGCCTATACCTAGACTCAAGGGCTTCTCCATCTCCGAACGTAACTAACATGTGCTCGTTTATTTTTCTTCACCGTCGAAGGAAGAATTGACCCTCGGCAGGCTACGGGTGCTGGCCGCGCGTGGCCGCCGGGGACGATCATCTAACGATCATGATGATATCGAGGCCGCCCGTGCTGTCGTCTGCATGGAGCCGATACTCGTGCTTTCAGTTATAACGAGGCCGTTTTAATGCCCAAAATGTTATTATTATCACTGCTGTTTCAATACATACATGGCTTGTTGTAGATTGAGTGACACGGTCTTCTAAGTTCTAACGACTCTTGGAATAGCTCATTTAAGCCAGGATTTTTAGCGCCATGCACCGCTATACCTCATGACCTGCACTGTAACAAAACACAAATTTCATCCAGCGCGACTATGAGGCGCCGTTTGTAGACTTATTATTCGGCCAATTATTACCAATTATTTATATAAATTGATATCTACCTTACTAGACTACATTGTATAACATATGCTGCAGTTTAAAGTGTATAAGTATCTATAAATAATGATTTCATGATATCCATTATATATGAATATTGAGTTCATGATATCCATTATATACAATCAATAATTTCCGCATTATATTTTTTCAATATTTTTTTTTCAATTATTGTCTCTTCTTATACTTACAATAATTGTTCTCAAATAATGTGAAAGCAGTCGTGTCAGTTATCACACATGTTTTTTCTCTAGCTTGATCTGTCAGAATGCAGGAGAAAAACGTTTATTAGTGTTTGGTTACAAACATTCTCCATGTGTACCGTTGCTAGGTTACCGCAGTACACTGATCGACATGTATATATAATGGTTTATTTATTCAAAAATCACGTTGCAGCCCAAAGGCTGAATTGCACGATTTTTTACAAATCTTTGACATAAAAACAGATTATAATGAACATTGTTAAAAGCATTACACATGTGGGTCAATGTCACGTATTTGCTATTTAAAACATGCATTTTACTATCCTTGGTAAAACAAGAAGGAGAGGGTGAGAGAGAGAGAAAGGGGAAGGAGAGGGAGAAATTAACAAACTCCTTCAGCCTGAAACTTTAAAAAAATAGGTATTGACTGAAAATATACTCCACAAACTTCAGACTGCATCTTGCAAATTTCATCTCTTACAAACATTTTCTTTCAAATTTTTGTTTCCCCCTTCACAGGGTTCTTATTTTCAAAACAAATTCCATCATATACAGTATATCCATATAATATATACAATATTTAAAGAAATAATTTCCATACATAATGGCTAAACAACGATAATAATCATCACGACCCAAAACTTTGTGGCAGAAAAAAAACAAAACATTTATGATAAAATAAGTATTTAAATATATAAAAAAAATACCAAATATAAAATACATCCTAATAATAATAATAATAATAATAATTGGATTTATATAGCGCTTTTTCCAAAGGTTACAAGGCGCTGCTCTCTTTGACTTTCGATAATTTAAGAAGAGTTGTACAGGCACATTTCAACCACTCAAAATACTTTGCTAAAGTGGAACCATTTCTTTTTAAATTGATTCTATCTGAGATTTGTTGAGTATATATATTTTTCCATTTCATAATAATGTTTTACAGCTGATAAAATTATAGTTCATTAATAATAATAATAATAATAATGAACATTTGTATAGCGCCTTTTCTACAAGTAGATACAAAGCGCTTAATTAACATATACAATGAACAATTAACAAAATAGAAAGATGCTTAACAACAGACATGTATGTAACAATATAGGAATGAACAAAATAAAGGGTAAGACAGGTAATAGAAGAGCAAGAACAAGTGCTGGTAAGCGGGCATTAGTTAAACAAGTGTGTTTTGAGGTGTTTTTTGAAAGTCATTAGAGAATCAGCAGTTTGTACAAAATTGGGGAGATTGTTCCATGATTTTGGAGCAGTGGCTATGAATGCCCGCTTACCAGCAAAATATTTCTTGTCCTTATAACCACCAGAATATAGTTGAGTGTATTATTATTGCTGCCGCAAAATCCAAACAATTATTTTTTACTTGTAAATATGATCCTTTTCGAATTTCAATTATACTTCATTAGAATACATGGGTGTCGATTTGTATCCGTGGTTTTTTTTTTTTTTTTTTTGGGGGGGGGGGGATGATAGGTGCCAAAATATTTTCGGCAATGGATCAAAGCAACCAAGATGTAGAAGCGTGTGGCAGGTTTCACCCCCTCCCTTCCAAGTTAATAACTTGTTCAAGTCACCCTCAATAAAGATAACATTTCAGAGAATATAAGAGTGGTAATAAAATTAATAACATGCTACATGTTAGTCCTGACTCTTGCCTGCAGTGAAGGCCTTTCCAGACTGATATCATCTATTTTTTAAACGAAATTTAGACATTACAAAAAAAATCCAATGGTGAGGGATATCAACTTGTGAAAGTATTATGTTACAAGTGGGCAAATGCATTAATAAGCAACCAGGAAAGGTTCATTTAGACAGAAAATTCTTTATTTCCTGGTGATAGAAACATACATTTTATGAATATTGATGTCTCCAAACAACATTCATCGTGAAAAACCAATTCCAATATTTTGTGTAAGGAGATCTCAAAAAAACATAGTTCTCATTAGTAAATGAAAAAATATTGCTTTTGGTTCTTCATTTGACTCTCTTCCTTCTTTAATTAAACCAACTGAATCCTCTCTGCGGGAACTCAATTCAATGAAACAGAATATCACTGATGCAAAATTTGGTTCTCAAAATGACAGAAAATTTGCACTCCTGATCTCATACAAACTGTTTGTTTCTTAAAAACATCATATTATAAAACTAACATTCCAACTACCAAACAACAAACTTCCATTATCTCCTTCTTCACCCAGATATACCAGATACGCTCTAAAATATAAGCATAATATCCCTAAGGCCCTGACCAGAGCACTATTTTTGTCTTAAAAAACTATAACCAGTCTTAGAAGTGATATTGGAATTTGGAAGGGTGTTATAAACAAAACTTCAAACTTAATAACATTCCAACCTTCTAAAACACCTTAACTATCTTATGCCTGTTACGTTTGAATACAACGCATAGGCCTACATCAGCTTTTCTATAAAACAAAAATAAGTTGTTACATAATAATCTTTCTCCAAAATATCGAACTGGAGTATTCTGTTGTATTGCTACATACAAAGAGCTTATTTTCAAGAGGCACTAGATCCATGTGTGTAACTCAGGGGCGGTCGAGCAACTTTCATAGTGGGAGGGGGCACCAAGAGAAAAGGGCACTTTCTGGGGGAAAATGGCACCTACAAAGGAAAATCTCAAAACGAAAATATACAAATTTTTAGATATTGGTATATACCCGTACATTGTGATTACAACTATCAGGGATGATTTCAATATTTGTTTCACTTTATACACCATACAAGATATTGCTTTAGCATTATGCTTTGCAGTTGGGTTTGATTGTCGACAAAATTGTTTGCGAGGGAGGACAAATTTTAAGATGTGTGAGGTCGCAGTGCGAAAAATTACATCTTATAAAGAGAAAAAACCCAATCCTAATGGGGTTATAAGCACATTTTCATAACGGAAGACTGAAAAGACCTTTGAAAAGTAACAAAAGTATATCATCTTTAGATGCGTGCAAGCATAGCGAGCGAACTGTGGGGGGAATTGCTCTTACCCGCTTAAAATAAGCTAGGGCGCGTTTAATGATGTGAGGAAAAGGGGACACTTAACAGGGAAGAAAAGGAGCATGTGCCAAAGTACAAAGAGTTATTATCAGAGGTGATAATGGGAAATTTTTTACACCCTCAAAAAGAGGCACTCACCAGGGATGAAAAAGTCAGTCATAGAAAATGGGTATTTGTCGACGGAAAAGGGGCATTTATAAGATATTATTATATATTGTTAAAAGGGAAATTATCAGAGGTGAAAAGAGGCACTTATCGCATTTGAAAAGAGGCAATGACCAGATATTAAAAGAGGCACTTATGTGAATGAAAAAAGGGCACTTGTAATAAAGGAAAATGTACATTAGTTAAAAAAATTGTGCACCGATCAGATTTTAAAGGGGCATTTATCGGAGTTGAAGGGGGCACCTATCTGAAGTGAAAAGGGGTAACGTCTCATACCTGAAAAGGGTCAATTACCAGAGAGGGGGCTCTTATGAGAAGGGGAAGGGGCTCTTTTTTTAATGGGGAACTTATCATTAGGAAAAGGGGCACGTATTAGAAAGGAAAAATGGCACATGTGAAAATATAAGGTGCGCTTTAATATCCGAGTTTAAATAGGGGGTAGTTATTAAAATGGGAAGGGGCACTTCTTACAAAGGAAAAGGGGCACTTGTCAAAGTAAAAGAGGCACGTAACTCTCTGTTTTACATAGGACAATTATCAGAGGTGAAGGGGGCACTTATCAAAAGCGAAAAGAGGCAGTTCTCGTACCTAACTAGGGGCACTTATGAGAATTTGTGCGTGTGTGTATGTATGCTTGGGTGTGTTGATAAGGGTGGTGGGAATTTTGTTTAACGGGGAGGGGATGGGAGAATAGACAAAAAAGTTATCTCAAGTATACTTTAATATTATTGATCAATAAATATGTACTTTTGTTTCCTTTTTATTATTGCAATTTAATATGTTGAATCCAAAATATAAATGTACAATGTATCCTGTTTTGTTTAGAAAGATTTGTACTCTTTGAATTCTCTTTCTCTTCTTCATAATCCCACTCTTTCCCTTCTCCCCCCCCCCTTCCTCTTCTCCCATCTTTTTCTCATCTTCTCCCATCTCTTTCTCTTCCTCTCTCCCTTCCTCTTCTTCAAACTCGTATTCTTCTACCTAATCCCGCTCTTTCTCTTCTTCTCTCCCTTCCTCTTCCTTCCCACTTTTCTCTTCTTCCGACTATTTCTCCCCCTCTCTCCAAAGCTCAAACAGACAGGTATCAATGTAAACTTACCATTTCTTAATCCCACAAGACTGACAAGCTGGTCTTGTGACGAACTTGACAATTTCTTTCAAAAATTCCTGTTCCTTCAAAAACATATCAGGGAAAATGTCTAATTTAGGGATTTCAACAAGCCTTTTTGATGATGTAGTTATTCAATTTCAAGGAAATTATTTAAGATATCAACCCCCCCCCCCTAAAAAAAAAAAACACTTTACAAAATTGTGTTCATGACCATCATTCATATACCTCACAATAACAAAAATATATTTAAAAACAAAACAAACACACACAAACATAAACATGGAACAAATTTTGCAATTTATAAAAATATAATTTATTAATATTGCCAACCTACAGCTTGGGAGGCTTTGAAAACAAAATCTTTCAGTTCCAGTACAACTAATTATTTCTTTAGAAAACATCAATGTTCATTCATTGAAAACATTACATGAGTGCAAAGACTTGAAAAATCAACCATTACAATGAAATATCATGGAATGACTTGAAAAATCAACCATTACAATGAAATATCATGGAATGACTTGAAAAATCAACCATTACAATGAAATATCATGGAATGACTTGAAAAATCAACCATT